TGGGGTCCTTCTCTCTGTCACATTGCTCCCAGCGCTGTGCTTTGCATCAGTTGCGACTTGGTGAAAGACTTCTTCAGTATTACTTTTTCCTTTCCCAGGATTCTGACCCGCATCCTGAGGTTGAGCTATCCTTGCAGCACAACTCATAGTGTGGCCACCTGGGAGCTTGTCGGAATTGCACATTCTCAGAGCCCACCCCACTCTTACTGAATCCGAATCTCTGGGGATTGGTTCTGTTTTAATGAGCTCTCCAGGTAGGGTGACCCACTGTCTTGATTTGTACCGAACTGAGGGGTTTCCCAGGACACAGGACTTTTAGTATTAAAACCAAGACAGTTTTGTCACCCTAATTCCAGGTGATTCTTAAAAAATATATATATTTTTATTGATTTTTATTTAAAGAGAGAGGAAGGCAGAGGGAGAGAGAGATAGAAACATTAATGATGATAATCATCGATCGATCAGCTGCCTCCTGCACGCCCTGCGCCGGAGATCTAGCCCACAATCCAGGCATGTGCTCTGACCAGGAATCGAACTGTGACCTCCCGATTCATAGGTTGACGCTCAACCACTGAGCCACGATGGCTGGGGTTGCCCTTTACCTTTAGGACAGGTTTTTTCCCCAAGAGGCTACTTGGTCCTTCAGGCATTTGAACTCAGAGGGCCACCCTACAAGGCTGTGCAGACTGTGCTAATTGTGGCTGAGAAGTCTTTGGTAGCCTAGCATACAGTTGGTCTTTTTTGCCAGTATGGGGAACAAACATTTATTGAGCCAAACAAACCAGGTACTGTCCTTGGAGTTACACTTATGCTAAATTATTCTTAATGGGCCTTTAAAACAGGCATCCTGAGGATGAAGTGTCAGAACATTAGAGGGAAAGGACTTCAGGGGCCATTTAACCCAGCTACTCAGATGGGAGCTTGGTAGAAATGCAATATATAGGGCCCCACCCCAGACCAACTGAATCAGAGCCTGCAGTTTAACAAGATCCTCAGGTAATTTGAATGCATTTTAAAATCTGAGAAGCCCAAAGCCCTTGTTTTACAGATGAAGAAACTGAGACTCAGGAGATCAAGTGATTTGCTAAAGGTCACACATGAATTGGACTCCACTGTTTTCCTCTATACCTGGCTGCCTTCCTCCAGGGCCATATTTTGTTTGTCTGGTTCTATCTATTGAATGAATTTGAACTTGATTAAATTTATTTAAAAATACTTTAGATTCTGTCCTTCACGAATTCAGATGGGACTCTCTTTAATTTATCTGAATTGGTGGGACTTATTTGTTTCTTAATTTCTTGTGTGTGTTTATTCGGTTCACTCAGCAGTTATACGTAGCAATCATTTTCCACATGATGAAAGTTTCTGGCCCTGGCTGGCGTGACTCAGTGGTTAGAGCATCGACCTACACAACGGAGGGTCATGGGTTCTATTTCCGGTTAAGGGCACATACCTGGGCTGCAGGCTCGATCCCCTCTCTGGTTGGGGTGCATGCAGGTGGCAACCAATCGATGTGTCTTTCACATTGATGTTTCTCTCTCTCTTCCACTCTCTAAAACTCGATGGGAAAAATATTCTCAGGTGAGCATTAGCAAATGGAACTGAATGTATATAAATGTTGCCATCTTTATGACAAGCATACCATATAAGAAAAAAATCAAACATTTTACCGTTTTTTGGTTGGTTTTATTAGATGGTGTTTATATCTATTATTGCACTGTACACACACACTGGGGAGAATGTTCGTCACTGTTGGTAGATCACAGCTGGGACTGTGAACTTGACCCAGGATCCATTATTTTATTTATTCATTTATTTTTAAATATTTTTATTGATTTCAGAGAGGAAGGGAGAGGGAGAGAGAGGTAGAAACATCAATGATGAGAGAGAATCATTGATTGGCTGCCTCCTGCATACCCTGAATGGAGACCAAGCCCACAACCTAGGCATATGCCCTTGACCGGAATCGAACCTGGGACCTTTCAGTTCGAAGGCCACTGCTCCATCCACTGAGCCAAACCAGCCAGGGCAGGATCCACTATTTTAAAAGTACTTCCAGAATTTTGGTTGCATGTGATGAGAACTGACAGTGTCCCTAAAGAACTGTTTTAAAATATTATGTGTCAAAATGTCAAAATGTTTACATATATTTTACCCATATGTAGGAGGCTCATTCTCACTTGGGCTTTGTCTGTTATCCCTGTTTTCAGGAGCTTTTCTGGTCCATTTTCTCCTCGTTGTAAAACTCCATCTGATGCCCGAGTTGGTGCGGGGGATCTGGGTATCTAGCTACTCCCAAGACATATTTTCACGCAGTTCCTTGAACTTTCAGGCCTCTCCCTTCTGAGGTACTCAGTGACCTTAATTCCTGAGTTTTTTGGAAGTTGCTTTTAGTTCTTCCTCTCTCAGGCAATTCCCATATGTTCACTTCTTCCATCTTCTGAAATATTGTTAATGTCCTTCGTCTGCTATCATCTTTCCTACCAGGGTCCACACCTTCCTAGTCCTTGTTGTCATTTTGTGGGAGTGGGGTTGAGAGTGTATTAAATCTGTGGTATTTAACTGGAAGTCTTTCATTTGTAATTTTAAAAAATGTTTTATGGCCCAGCAGGTGTGGCTCAGTAGTTGAGTGTCAACCTATGAACGAGTAGGTCATGGTTCGATTCCCAGTTGGATCATGTGCCCAGGTTGTGGGCTTAGGGCAGGGGTGGGCAAACTTTTTGACTCGAGGGCCACAATGGGTTCTTAAACTGGACCGGAGGGCCGGAACAAAAGCATGGATGGAGTGTTTGTGTGAACTAATATAAATTCAAAGTAAACATCATTACATAAAAGGGTACGGTCTTTTTTTTTTTTTAGTTTTATTCATTTCAAACGGGCCGGCCCCAGCCCGCCGGCCATAGTTTGCCCACGGCTGGCCTAGGGGCATGATTCCCAGTAGGGGGCATGCCCAAGGCAGCTGATCAATGATTTTCTGTCATCATTGATATTTCTCTCTCTTTCTCCCTCTCCCTCTCCTGCTTCCTCTCTCTGAAAACAATAAAAACATATTTTTAAAAAATGTTTTATGTATTTTTGTTATAAGCTCTTTCTGATTCCTAAGTTTGTGCACATTCTTTTTTACTCCCTCCCCAGTCTTACTTGAGTTTTGACTACTTTACTGGTCTTTATGGTGCACTGACTTTTTGGGAAAGATTTTTTTTTTTTAATGAATTTGAATATGTTTTCTAATTTTTAACATCTTTTTTATTTTCACTAAATCCTAGCCCTCCCCCATAAATCTCTATTTTGTTTTTTCAGCTCTTTTAAGCTTCCTGCATTAAAATTCTAGGGTGTGTGTTTTCCCTGGCTGTCTGCTTTGCTTTCTCTCTTTCAAGCATAAAGACATGTAAAACTCAAATTTTCTAGAGTAGACAACTTTTTATATCTGGTAGTAAACATTTCAATTTTTATATCCTCTTTGTCCCAAGAATTATTTGGGAGAGTGTTCTGTAGTTGCAAGTAAGTTTTCTTATGGGAACGCTAGTCTTATGTTTTATTTTGGAGTTTTATGATATTGTTACATGGTAGTCAGATAGTAGGACTTCTACAATTTCTACCTTTGACAAATTTGTTGTATTTTTCTTTATGGTCTGGATCTGATAAATTTTTTTAAAAATTCCATGGTTAATTTGGTATTAGTAATAAGTGGTGGTTTGTCTCGTTTCTGTGTTATCTTTTGTTTTTTTTTAAAAAAGCAAGCAAGCATGGTTAAGAGTATTGAGAAATCTCCCTGTCTCAGTTGGTTTCCTGCCTGGAGCGGCCCGGCCCCGAGGGCTAAGTCTTTATTACCAGGGGATTAATGGGGCCAAGACCTGAGATGAAATTCCATGCGCAAGGTTCTCCTTACAGGGCCACTCCTGAAATTACAGACACTGATTGTGCAACACGATAGCTCAGTAGCTTTGGGTAGAAATTCTTGTTTTATCTTGGGCCATGTATCACCATCTGATAGATTTGGATGTTTCAGGAGTTTTAGCCCCAAACAGTTTTGCTGCTTATCTAAGTAACTGGGATCTGGGCATCCTGCTGGGACCCTGCTGTTATCTCACTGGCGTTGTAAACACATTCACTTTTTCCCTGAAAGGAAAATGGATCGGGTAATAGAGAAGGTTTTCTACCCTCCATTTGCTGTTTGAAGTATAGCAAGTAGGATGATAGGTTCCTCTTTTCAGTTGGTCAATAAAAATAGAATGTTTACACTGTATAAATAAAGACATATGGGCAAATGACATCATCATTTCATAATTCCAAGCTGGGAAGACAGAGCTGGAACAGAGTATAATGACAAATTAACGTGGTTGATGGGAGAATATACAGGTGTTAGGGAAACACAGAGGAAGATACATTTAATTTGCTTCAAGAATGAGGGAATGGGGAAGATGTCAGGGAGAATATGAGGTTTAAGTTGGGTCTTGAAATAGAAATAGGTGCTAGGCTGGACAGAGATGGAGGAATAGGCATTTTTTGTGTGTGTGTGTGTGTATATGTGTACAAATGATGAGAAAGAATCATTGATCGGTTGCCTCTTGCATGCCCCACACTGGGGATCGAGCCCGCAACCCCGGATGTGCCCCAACCTCCTGGTTTATAGGTCGATGCTCAACCACTGAGCCAAGCCGGCTGGGTGGGATAGGCATTCTAATAGAAGTAGGAGTGGATAGCATGTATGGGAAAGACGCGTCGGTCTTCTCCCCAGAGAATACCGTGTATAGTTTGGGTTTGGGAAGGGTGAAGTTGGAGGAGCTAGCCTAGAGTCAGGCCGTTCGGAGCCTTGATTGCCAGGAGGAGGAATTTGCACTTTACTCTGTGGGCAATGAGTAGGGAAGGGGTCAGTTCCTTTTTAATTTTGGTATTTAAATTTTGGTTCTCTGTCATAAATGTTTACTGCCCCAAATATGATCCGTCTAGAGGAGGTGATTGAATTTTTATTTTTCTGAAATATACAATCTATGATTCAGGTTTAGACATCTGTGCCACGTGCCACGAACATGCCACCTGCAAGGAAAGAGAAGGGAAGAAGATGTGCACTTGCAAATATGGATTTGTGGGCAATGGGCGGACTCAGTGTATTGGTAAGTTCTGAATCCTGTGTTAAGTTGAAAAGTTGAAGGAACCAAGAACTAAGATTCTCTAGTGTTAAAGCGTTGATGTCCTTGGGAGGGAAACATTGCTATTTTTTTTCTTCACTGTTTTTGGTACAAGAAGATTTGTCAGTTATAATAACTCTTTGTTTTAGTGTTTGGATATATCCTGTCTCTAGGGTTTCCAAGGAAGTAGCCCTCATGTTCGAGGTCATTGAACTTGAATTTCTGGAGACTCTCTGGCCTACTACATATTTGAAATGTGTTTCAGGTCTTGAATTTAACTTAGTAACTTAAGTCAATATTGAGTTTTCTTAATTTCTCTGGTTGTTCTGATATAAAACTGCTTATATTAGTATCATGAGAAAAAACAAAACACAATTGCCTATTAGACTTTTTGGCTAATTGATGAAATACTGTTGCTTTGAGTCTTATGTCAAGCAGAATCCATCCTCCATATTGTGTGTGTCTATGACCTTTTGGAGTCCTGGGTGACTTAAAAGAACATAAAGACCTTTAAGCTAGAAGCACTTGAGATTATTTTTTTGCCTCGTGTTATCTACCATGCCATGAGAGTGAGACAACGGCCAGGTTCAAGTCCAATTCAGAGAGAGGGAGCGTTTCACAGCAACTTACAATAGTGAGTGCTACTATCATCACAGTTTCCTCCCGGCAATCTTGCTACCTGCAGTAAAAACATTGATAGTTTTGCCTTGAGGTTGTGGACCGGCAGTGTACACAACTTTGTTGTGATATCTTTGTATTTTTTTTTTTCTCTCCCTAAAGTTCAAAAAGTCATGTTCTACTTCACAGATATGAGCTTTCACAATCACATTGCTTATTTATTTATTTTACCTATTGTCTATGGCTGCTTTCAGGCTCCAAAAGCATGGCCGAACAGTGGTGACCAGGGGCCTGTGACTGGCCCTTTACAGCAAGTTTGCCGACTCCTGGGTCTGAGGGCAGACGGGAGGGAGGGTTCCTTTCATTTTGCACTGATGTAAAATTATTGAATTCAAAATGCTCAGGGCAGCTTCTGTGGACTCATTAAGCATCCACACTCCAGCTCCGCCTCACTGGGCAACGAATACCGTTCACATGGGTCGCTGACCAGTCGCAGGAGCTGCTCCTGCCACAACAGTAGCCCTGCTCCTGGGTGAGGCTAAAGCGCCCATACCTTTGTGTTTCCTGGTAACTCAGAAGTCACAGTTTTCCCAGTTAATCACTGCACGTAACATCGTCCCCTTCTGGCTTTCATGAAGAAAGCAAGAGGAATGGCTCAGCTGGGAACCTGGGATTCTGCTGGATATATTTCCCCAGGACTAACACAAGATCTTTTAAAGTGTAAAAAAGAACCCCCTCCTCCCAATCTTCAAATAAGACGGATTTCAGGAGGGGATGTTGGCTTTCCCTCGTGGTTTCATACATACCTGGGGCGTGACTCCGAGGGGCCTCCGTCCTATAGTCGGAGGAGCACAGTGCCAGGGAAAGAGGCTGGGGAATATGTCCCAGAACATTGATTCCCGAGTCCACAGCACAGGACAGGGGGGTGTTGAACATGGTATGGATGGATGGCTTTTCCTGGATGTTGTCTCAATGTATCAACAGATAAAAACGAGTGCCAATTTGGGGCCACTGTGGTCTGCGGGAACCACACATCTTGCCACAACACGCTTGGAGGCTTTTATTGCATCTGCCTAGAAGGATATCGAGCCACAAACAACAACAAGACATTCATTCCCAACGACGGCACCTTTTGCACAGGTACTCAGAAGGGGGCTGTGGCGATGGCAACTGGCTGGTGGCAGGACAGTGTCCAGGATTTGGCGAAGGGAGAGGGCAGGGCCAGGACTGGTGTGATTTAAGGGAGGGACATTCCTGTAAGAAAATTTGTTTTTGTTTTGTTAATCCTCACCTGAGGATATTTTTTTCCATTGATTTTTAGAGAGAGTGGAGGGAGGGAGGAATAGAGAGAGAGAGAGACATTGATTGGTTGTTTCCCGCATGCGGTCCAAGTGGGGCCAGGGATTGAACCTGCAGCCCAGGTACGTGACATTGACTGGGAATCAAACCTGAGACCCTTCAATGTGCAGGATGACCACTGAGCAATACCAGACAGAGCATAGGAGTGAGATTTGGACATGGCCTGAGTATTTGTTCGTATTAGAGAATTATTGTTAATTTTATTAGATGGGATAACAGTGGCATTTAGGATAATATTCTTATTTGGGAGACACATGCTGAAGTATCTGGGATATTATTATGAGTACCTCGTGTTATTAGATCTATAAGGTACTTTAAATGTAAATAATTGTTCATTCTTATGGGTGTGGGTCTATGGGAGTTCAGTGTAATGTTCCTTTTACTTTTTAAAATATATTTTTATTGATTTCACAGAAAAAAGGGAGATGGAGAGAGAGAGATAGAAGCATCAATGGTGAAAGAGAATCATTGATTGGATGCCTCCTGCACACCCCACACTGGGGATCAAGACTGCAACCCAGGCATGTGCTTTGACTGGGAATTGAACCGTGACTTCTTGGTTCATAGGTTGATGCTCAACCACTGAGCCATGTCTCCGGGCAGTAATGTTCCTTTTCCTGTTCTGTGTGTCTGAACATTTTCATAATAAATAACAAGGAGGGGCCCTCAGAGATGGTGTGTCATCTGCAGGTTCCTGGAACCCCAGATGGGCTGTTTGTTCTTGGGGTGACTGGCATGTACCAGCTTGTGCACTTTGTCCCCTAAGGCCCCAGGGGCTGGGCACCGTGATGCTGGCTCCCGGGAGGTCAGAGTGCTGCTCCTATTAGAGCTGTGGATCCACCTCCCACAGGAATAAGTGAGGAGTGTAACTTCTGGAACCTCAGTAGCTTAGGGGTCAGTTTTCTGGGCATATGTTGGTCGAGTACAATGGGGTGGGCAAAACCCTCCTAATTGTCAGTGGCCCCTGTATTATCTGACCTCTACTTACATCCTGCCATGATAGTATAGCTCTTTGGTTTTCTTAGAAAATCTTTGAATAGTAATGAAGAGAAAAGGCAGGAAGAGACTGCTGATTCTAAGATGGGTTTGTACAGACCTAATGGCTGCTTAAAAGCTTTATTATTTAAAGGTTTCCAGGGAAAAGAAAGGGAGAGGAGAACATGGCTTCTTACTCACCCAGAACCACAGGCTCTGATGCTCTGATGCATTCTCCCTCTTGACCTGTACCGAGGTAAAGGTCCCTCCAAGGGTCCATTTGATCTCTTCTTGACACAAATGAGCACATTCCTTCAGAAAAGACATCTGATAATATCCTGTTGTTTTAGGTAGCAAATTCCCTGCCACATGATTGCAGAAGCCCAGTGTTGCAGGATTAAATTAGGTGGGTTTAAAAAAATTAGGTACCAATTGCCCTAGCCGGATTGGCTCAGTAGATAGAGCATTGGCCTGCAGACTGAAAGGTCCCGGGTTCGATTCTGGTGAAGAGCTCATGCCCGGGTTTGGGCTCGATCCCCAGTGTGGGGCATGCAGGAGGCAGCCGATCAGTAGTTCTCTCTCATCATGATGTTTCTATCTCTCTCTCCCTCTCCCTTTTTCTCTGAAATCAATAAAAATATATATTTTTAAAAAATGGTCTCTGGAGCCAGATATCTGGCTTCCCGCTACTTACCTTCCTGACTTACAGTAAGTCCAATTATTCAACTTCAGGTGCTTCATCTGTAAAATGGGGGTAACAATAGCATCTGCCTCACCAGGTTATTTTGAAGACTAAATAGGATGGAAGTAATCAGTAATAAATAATGAGTTTAGAACAATGCCTGGTATGTGTAAGATGACATGCAGGAATAGTTATTAGCAGTCGTAATGATTATTTTTTAATATGTCTTTATTGACTTCAGAGAGAGGGAGAGGGAGAGAGAGAGAAACATCAGTGATGAGAGAGAATCATTGATCAGCTGCCTCCTGGATGCTCCCTTCTGGGGCTCAAGCTCACAACCTGGGCATATGCCCTGACTGGGAATCAAAGCATGACCTCCTGGTTCATGGGTCAATGCTTAACCACTGAGCCACACCAGCGGGGCATAATGATTATTGTTATGAGGTTGTTGAATGACTGTACACAAAGCAAACTGATTAATGACTGTAGTGACTTCTGTTCGGCGCTGATCAGTACCGAGGAGCTCCAAGTATTTTCCATACCACGACTGCTTAGCCACATTTTTGCCCTGTAGTTATTTGTACTCTTTATTTTTAGAACTCGACTAAAAAAAGAAAAAAGACAACCTTTGATTCCCACTCTCTGTTGAGGAGTCTAGAGCAGGTGGACAGGCTGGAAAATGATTTCTGTGACAAAGCTATACATAGATACTTTACAAATTCCTCCATGGGATAAAAAAATCTTGATAAGTTAAAATGATGGATCAAATCTAGAAACGTATGTTGTATTCTGCAGTGTTGAAATCATCTTAAAGTTTGTCCTAGATTGAGATTGAACTTAGTTTATGTTATTTACTTTTTAAAAATGTTCTTATTGATTTTAGAGAGAGAAAAGAAGGGAGAGGGAAAGAGAGAGAAACAGTAATGTGAGAGAGAAACATCGATCAATTGCCTCCCGTATGCACCTCATCCGGGGACCACACCAAAACCTGGCATATGCCCTAACTGGGAATCCAACTGGCGACCTTTTGGTGCACGGATGACACTCAACCAACTGAGGCCAGGGCTATCTGATGGTATTTTTATTTTGGGAATCCTTTCTTAACAATTGCCAAAAGTATCATGATTTTATTATAAACAATTATTGAACCCTAAGCTTTGCTTGTTTCATTTCTCAGTACTCCTTGTTGTGTTTTATTATGTCTTTCTCTTTCTTGACATTGTTTATTCTGATTTTTTTTTTTTTTTTTGCTGGCTCCAGTATTTTCTCAAAATCTTTTCCAGAAAAGAAATGTCAGTGCTGATACCTGGTATCACTCATGGTCTGAAAGGTCATTCCTTTGTTTAAATACAGCATGAAGTCTTGCTCCATTTTTCTTAGAACTCTGTAACATTACTCCTTTGCTATCTAGCATTTAGTGTTTCAGACAAGAAGTCCTAGATCAGATGGGCTCTCTTTTCCCTATATATTACTGTTCCTTTCCCTCAGGGGGTTATACATTCTTCCCTTATTCTATGCAATTCAGAATTACTTTCATTTTTTTAACATTCAGACCTGTCAGTTGTAAAAGCTATTTGGATTTGAATACACAAACTGAGGATTTTAAAAAATATTCTTATACATTTACTCCATTCTCTTCTGCAATTCCTCTTAAATGAATACTGATGGTTGCCAAGTGGAATAGGGTGGGAGGGGAGATGGTAAAAAGGAATGCAAGAATAGTATAAAAAGTATAATCTAAAAAATTAAATGGATATTAAGTACTTTAGATTCATCTTCATGTTTTTTTTTTGTTCTGCACTCTGTCTCACATAATTTATTTTTCTATGTGTTTTTGGAGAATTCCTCAAGTTGGAATTTGCACATTTATTTTTCAGCATTGATTGAGCTATTATTCAGTGCCTCCATTGATTGAGTTTTTATTTTTGGCATTCATATTTTGTTTTTAATATTCAAAACCTCATTGTTTTTTATTGACACAGTTTCTTCTTAATCTTGTTTGGACTTCTGCATCTCTTAATTATCTATTACTACATAATTCTAGTCTCCTGACTCCCAAATTTAGTGGCTTAAAACAGCAATTTATTATTTCTCACAATTCCATGGCTAGGTAGTTTTATCACTTGTGTAGATACATTCAGCTGGTGGCTGGCCTGGGCTGGGAGGGAAGAGAAGGCCTCTCACATGTCTAGGGCCTTCGTGCTGATGGTCAGTTCTCCTCTATGTGGCCCTCTCTTCATTTGGTGTCTCATCCTAGGGCCTCTCTGAGTGGGCTCCAAGTATAACAGCCTGGATTTCCTAACAGCATGGCCACTGGATTCTAAGAGAGAAAGAGAAAGCTGCCAGGTGTCTTCAGAGTTAGGTCCAGAGCAGGCACACTGTTACTTCTGCCCTGTCCTATTGGCCAAAGCAAGTCCCAAGGCCAGCCCGAGGGAGCCACATACTCTTGATGGGAGGAGTGGCATGTGAGAAAGGGAGAAGCAGAATTGTTGCCAGCCATTTTTGAAGACAATCTCCCACAAACAGTTCCCAAAAGTTTGAAGCACTAAATGTGTAGGTTGATCTGAATTGGTAGTTTTTCCCTGAAATCTATATAATTTTATTAACCAATGTCACCCCAGTAAATTCAATAATAATAATAATAATCTACACTAATAAAAGACAAAGATGCTAATTGACCATACCTTTGCTACGCCCACCATCCAATCAGAAGAGTATGTAAATTAACCCAACAAAGATGGCCGTTAAATTTGCATACTGCAGGTGGGGCGGGCAGCGCCAGATGCCACCTGAGGAGGCAGAGCTGGCGATCGCCCTGGCCAGAAGCCTGAGGCCTAGGGAGGGGCGGAGCTGGCAATCGCACAGGGCTGGGGGTCCCCTGCCCAGGCTTAAGGCCCCGGCCAGAGGCCTGAGGCCTGGGCAGGGGCAGAGCCTGCCATCATCAGGCTGGGGGTCCCCTGCCCAGGCCTACGGCCCCAGCCAGAGGCCTGAGGCCTGGGCAGGGGTGGAGCCGGTGATCGCATGGGGCTGGGGGTTCCCTGCCCAGGCCTAATGCCCGGCCTAAGGCCTTAGGCCTGGGCAGGGGCCGAGCCGGGGACCGGTGTGAACTACAGAGGAAACACCTTTTTGACGCTCATTGGCTAAGCTCCCTGTATGCCACTGGTAATATTCTTAGTAACTTGGGTAATAAGAATCCAAGAAGGTGATGTAGGGTTTTTCCACCTCACTCCTGGAGGGAAAAAATGAAGGTCTGCTGCTGGAGGGGCTAAGAAATATCATATCCTGCCCTAGCTGGTTTGACTCAATAGATTATGCCTCGGCCTACCTACCACAGGGTCTGGGTTTAATTCTGACCAAGGGCATGTACCTAGGTTGCAGGCTCTTCCCTGGCTGGGGCCCAGGTCAGCACTCATGCAGGAGGCAACCAATCAAAGTGTTCCTCTCACTTTGATGTTCCTCTCTTCCACATTCTCTAAAAATCAGTGAAAACATATCCTCAGGTGAGGATAAAAAAAATAATTAAAAAAATCATGTCCTATGAAAGACACATCTTGAAAATGCCTAAAGAAAGTTGTCATTTTTTCATGATGAAGGGACTGGAGTCTGTGTTGATGAAAACACCTTGGTGGCTCCGGTGACTGGCAGTGGCTGCAGTAGTGGGGTGATGGGGCTGATGCCTTCCCCTGATCAGCCTCCCACAAAGGGAGGCCAGACTGCGGCTTAGGCCTGCTCCCCAAGGGGAGCAGGGAGCAGGCCTAAGCTGTCAGCAGGACATCCCCTGAGGGCTCCCAGTATGTGAGAGGGGGCAAGCTGGGCTGAGGGACCACCCCCCCCTCCCAGTGCACGAATTTCATGCACCGGGCCCCTAGTAATAATAATAAACATTGGTAACTTGTATGGGCTCCTTCAGCAATTGAGTGAATTGCTGGTTCCCAAACAATGATCAGTGAGTGATGAGGTATTCATTGGTCTAAGACCAAAGAACAAACAAAGAAAAAGGAGAATATAGTGAATTTCAGTAAAATCACAAACAAATTTAAAAGAATTTTGAGATTATGTTCTTCCTTCTTTTATGAAATTATGCTGTTCATAGTTTTTTTTTGGAAAAAAATGTATTTCTGTCAAAATTACTGTATGTTTTTCTTACCCCTGTACTTGCTACTTCTCATAATCTTTAGTCAGGGGGAGTCTGCCAAGAAGCCTGGCTTACCCTTCTCGAAGCCTGTTTTAAGGCCCCGTTATCTTGGTAAAATTAGTGAGATCCTTTTGAAGTATCCCCTTACTATCTGTCTTGGTATCCTATGTTCATTTTTGAAAGCATTTTTCACTCTTGTCTAAATTGTTCTGTATTTGGAGTTCTTTAGATATTTTTAGTTTGAGATTAAGGCCATTCTTATTTTATAGTAACTGAATTTTTAAATCCGCACCTGAGGATATGTTTTTATTGATTTGAGAGAGAGGAAGGAAGAGAGAGAAAGAGAGAAACACCTATGTGAGAAACATCGATGGGTTGCCTCCCCTACTTGCCCTGACCAGGAATCAAACACACCACCTTTTGATGTACAGGAGGACGCTCCGACCAACTGAGCCACCCAGCCAGGGCTGACATTTATTAACAGGCTCTTTTTTTGTTCATTTGATTTGGTGTCAGAAAATTGGTGATGGCTGTTGGTTTTTATAAAGCCCCAGAACAAGGTCACAAGTACTTCTGAGCACCTCTTAGTGAAGGATATCTGAGAAGACCCCGTACAAAGTAAAATAAAATTCATGATACTATTGCACACAAATGCGTCCATTTGTAAGCATAGACTGAGGATGTGAGAAATGGTTGTCACAATGTCATTCCCCCTCCCTCATTTTTTCTTTTTTCTGTTTTTCTCTCCCTCTTCTCTTCGGGATGGGTCTCAAGACATAGATGAGTGTGAGGTGCCCGGCCTGTGTGGGCAAGGAGGGCGGTGTGTGAACACTCATGGGAGCTTCGAATGCTACTGTATGGATGGATACTTGCCAGAGAGTGGCCCCGAGCCTTTCCACCCGACCAGAGATGCCACGTCATGCACAGGTGGGTTTCTGCTGAAGAATGCAAGATCGGAAAGCGCGTTCCTGTTGGTGGTGACTTTCTGCCGCCCTCACCTCTGTCTGTGGGTCTCTGTTGGGGAGGTAGGTGGAGATTATTAGTTCCTTTGCACATTTATACAACCTATGAAATAAGCAAGTAGCAACCTAATCAAGATAGAAGGGGCTATGTTAAAAAGCTAAAATTAGTAAACTTTGGGGATTTGTAGCAGTTAGTAGATATTTTGATGGTAACCATTACGTTAGCTTGTAAAACATGGCTGATCTGGTAGGGACCAGCATCTCAAAAGTGACCCTGAAAATGATACAGGTATATATATCATAAGGTGTTTTGCAATTTAAAATTTTCACTTCATTGGACTAGGATTCTCTTTATTTTTATTTTTTTTAATATATTTTATTGATTTTTTGCAGAGAGGAAGGATGAGGGATAGAGAGTCAGAAACATCAATGAGAGAGAAACACCAATTAGCTGCCTCCTACACACCCTCTACTGGGGATTTGCCTGCAACCAAGGTACATGCCCTTGACTGGAATCGAACCCGGGACCCTTCAGTCCCTAGGCCGACGCTCTATCCACTGAGCCATACCGATCAGGGCAAGGATTCTCTTTAGTTAGTATGAGTTAGTGAAGGTTGATTGCCGAATTCATTCAGCTTTGTGCAGGTATAGATGCTATTCCCTATGGCGGGTCAGAAGATTGAAGAGAGATAATCATTGGAAACATGCCCAAAAGTCATGTGGAAATGAACCAGCCTATTTAACCTGAGGCTGGGGTCTGTGTGTATAGGGAGGGGGAATGGGGTAGAGGTAGAGATGAATTTTGAAAATTCACATAATAATGCATCTGATATTAATTCATTTGCAGAAATAGACTGTGGCACTCCTCCTGAGGTCCCAGATGCCTATATTATAGGAAATTATACCTCTGGGCCTGGCAGCCAGGTTCGTTATGCTTGCAAAGAAGGGTTTTTCAGTGGCCCGGAAGATATAGTTTCAAGCTGCACAGTCTTGGGCACATGGGAGTCCCCCAAATTAAATTGCCAAGGTGAGTTTTCAAAAGGTTCAGGTTCACGGCTTATACCATGTTGAGATTTTCATAGTTCTCTCTTAAATTTCTCCTTGGGGTGGTGAATGAATTGAATAAACCCAATAATCCCTTTTTTTCCCTAATAGGTTTTCAGTTAATTCTCTTTGATTTTCCAGGAATAGTATCCTCTTTCATCTGCAAATAATGATAATTCCATCTTTTATTTTTCAACTTTTAAAAAAGTTGTTTCTCGTGGGTTTGTCAGTCAAGGGCACATACCTCGATGCCCGGCCCAGGTTGGGTGCAAATGGAAGGCAACTAATTGATGTGTGTCTCTCTCACATCAATGTTTTTCTCTCTCCATCTCTCTTCCCTCCCCTCCATTATCTCTAAAAAAAAAAAAAAAAAAAAGGTTGAGGATTAAAAAAAATGTTAACAAGTGGTAATTTGCACTGGGGGTGGGTGGGTCCTGGGTGATTTTATATCTTATGTACTTTCTGAATTGAAGGAATTTTTAACATATAACAAAGCCCAGTTTTCATTGAATTTATTGCCTAACTAAGTAACCTCAGTGACATGCTTGGCTGAGTTAATCCTTTTGCTACTCTGTGATTTCAGGTTCTAAACACATTTTAATAGTTAATTATCATCCTGAGGTGTAAGAAATCCTAAAAGTATATTTTAGCTCTAACATCTTTCAATAAATCAATTAAAATGCAGAACTTAGATTAAAATGTGTCATAATGCATTTCAAAGAACTCCCTAAGGACTTATACAGGAAACCCCATCTGAAACAATTTGTATTACTTTGGAAATGGGATTTCCATCTGGATTATTGGACTGAGGATACAGAAGGTTAGAGCGTGCTTGTTATATTCCTCTGAGAACTGTTATTTAGAAGATCTTCACTTCTTTCCCTCCTCTAATGATTGCTCTCTGCCTGCTGACACCCTCCTCCGCCTCCCCCCTGTCACCACATGGCGGAGGCTTCTCAGAGCTGTGCCTGCCCCTCTCTAAGCCCACCCCTTCTTACTTACCCTGCAGTCTGCGTGGGGCCTCCAGAATCTGGGCCATGTGCCAGCCAGCACTGTATTTTTAGCTCAGAGTTACAAAGCCACAGGAATTGGGAATTCCACTAAGAACACAAGCTGACTGTGAACTTGGGTGCTGCGGAGGAGCAGGTGCTTGTGAAGGGAGCAGCTGTGATTACAGATGGCAGCGTTTGTGTCCCAGAACAGGCTTCCCCGACAGAGAAGGTACAGTTGGTGGACCTGTTGTTCATGTTCTTCCGGTTTCTGTGTCCCCCAGTGGCAGTGCTGCCTTGCAGGGGGGCCTGTGACATGGGTCCCCCATCCCAGCGGGCCTCAGAGCTGGAAGTGAGGATGACAGGCCCCTGTGGTCCCCTCTTCTTTTTTAAAAAAAAACATATTTTAATTTATTTTAGAGAGGAAGGAAGAGGGAGAGAGAGATGGAAACATCAATGATGAGAGAGAATCATCAATCGACTGCCTCCTGAGTGCCCCCTACTGGGGATTGAGCCTGCAACCCTGGCATGTGCCCTAACTTGGAATCAAACCGTGACCTCCTGGTTCATAGGTTGACACTCAACCACTGAACCACACAGGCTGGGCTGTGGTCTCCTCTTCTGACGTAGGTAGGACTTGATGGAAATATGTGGCTGAAAGGATAGTATTTCTACCTTGCACTCCCTACATTTTGTTATAGTTACTACTTTTTTAATTTTCAGAAAAGATGCAAGTTGTGGGTGGCAGCTTAAAGAATGTAGGTTTCTAAAAAAAAAATCAACCAAGCCAGGAGCAAGGTGAGGGAATCACTTGGACCATGTTTATCATCAACAACAAAATGGAGTTTGGGTCTCACGTTATATGCGATAGATCCTGTGACTGAGAAAGTCCGGAGTCTGGGAGGAGAGAAGACAGCTACGCTACCGTGATATCCAGGTGCACACCTAAATTTATGTTCATATGCAGCTCACAGCATCAAACCCCATTGTCACTTCTACAGAAGTAAGATCCTTACAAGAGATGTGCTCATAAACTCTTTTTTTCTCTTTCTAGCACCCATGCTTTTACCTATGATAACATCCTCTGCAGTTTCTGAAGGGTTTAGATTCTAGCTATTTCCATACTAGATACACATAACATTCATTGTCAACAAATAGTATCCAGTATGGAAATAGCTTTTGTTTTTCTCCAAATGAGCTTTCTCTATCTGAAGGAAATGTATTGTTAGTCAAGGCTAAGTTCGTGGAAGACTTTAGAATACAGAGTACATCAAAAAATATTTTTTTCTTTCACAGCCTAAGGCAAATGGGCTTTTTTGGTGCTAATGAGCTCATTAGCTTAGTGTCAGCAGTTAATAAGCTACTCTGGAGGATCTGCTTTGTGGCATACTGAAACCCTCCCATTTTCCTTTGATGGTTATGATAACATTTGCTAAGTTCAAGTTGCCACAGATCGAGACATTAGATGTCAGCCCCCAACATCGATGATATATGTAATTTAGTGCCCAAGTGATCCCAGAATGAGGGTCAAACTATATTTGGCCAAATTTGGAACATGCCATAAAATGCATGAAACTCTGTCATAAAGTTACACTTTGACCCATTCTTTAGTATGTTTTTTACATATAAATATCACAGAGATTAATGTTCATAATATTAATTACTCACATGAATACAGGAGATATTGAAAAATATTGGATATAGACACAGCCCACAAAGAGCTTACCATTAAGAGGAGAAGAGAAAATTTTTACAAATGAAATAAATGAAGAAAGTATAAGGTATAAGTGCTGAATTATCGGATCCAGGGGATGAATATAGATCCTCGTGTAATTGGCCTGTCACCCTTACAACCTACCACATTATACTAATTTCCAGGTGTTACATAAAGCGTCTGATTTGAGAAGGTTAGAGACTTCCTTCTATTATTGCTGGGCAAGGAAGACAACTGACTTTAGTGGGATTTTCTTCAGTTTTCATCCTTGTTTCTGTTCCTTTGCCAAAGCTTTTCATCTAGTAGTTTATTTGTCAGGGATGGTTGTGTGTGTTTTTCAGTCAAGATCAGTATGTGGAATAGGTCTATCATTCATTTCCCCAGCAGTTGGCAAAATGCCTGCCTCAATTTATAGACCTTATCGGTCTCTTTTTCCTTTCCTTTCTCAGCTTGGTCTTTATTGGTCTCTAAAGCAGTCTTGGTTAAAGCCTTTTATTACGCTGTGTGCTCTGTCATCAGCCACCTTATTGCGCTGACTGTATGATAAGCAGCAGGCACTGTGGGTGATGTTGGTGATACAGTGAGTCATTGATTAGATGCCAGATTTCCTTCTGGAATATCTTCTCGGGTAGAGTAGTAAAGCTAGCCATGTGGGTAAACATTTTCACCTTCGAGATATGAAATAAAGTTAAAATATAAACGTGGTCCTTGAAACTGGCACAGCACATCCCCTCTTCCCCACCCCAGGGAGACCTGTTTTGAAGTCAGTCATTTGAATAAAATCACAGGTAATAGGATAGTAAGATATATTCCCAGCCATGTTCATAATTAGTGGACTGTATTCCTGATGCAGTTCCAAGCGTTACTTAATAATATAATTAGCCAGACAAATGTGTGCTTTAATGAACATATATGCAGCACAAGATTTGTGCTGCTTATTATTTTCTTTCCTTTGGATAGAAACTGTTTTTTATTATTATTTTATTGTTATTCTTTTTTGTTAATCCTCATCCGAGGATATTTTTTCCATTGATTTTACAGAGAGTGGAAAGGAGGTGGGGGGAGAGAGAAGCATCCATGTGAGAGAGACACATTGATTGGTTGCCTTCTGCACATGACTGGGGCCAAGGATTGAACCTGCAACCCAGGTACATGCCCTTAACTGGGAATCGAACCTGTGACCCTTCGGTGCATAGGCTGGTGCTCTAATCACTGAACCATAAACTGCAGGGCTCAAAACTCTATTTAAGTGATATATTTCCTTGTGAGGGTGAGAGCTCTGGGGTTTTCATGTAGAACTATATTTTCATTACCTATTGCAGTCTCATTGGATTGATTTTTGATTATTTCTTAATAGGAGCCACCTGCTTTCTCACATCTTTTGTTCTGAGTAGAAGTGGCAGTGTCTGCCATCTCTCTTAAGGGGGGTGGGGAGTTTGACAATATCTGTGGCAGGGTTATGTTCCAGGCCAAACACAGGCCACACCCCATACTATGGGGTTAAACATCAGTACCAAGAAAGCTTCAGGGGGTCACACAACTGCAGAGGAAATCTATTTCCAGCAGCTCTTTTGCTCTGGGAGAATTCTTAGAGACAAGATTGGGCAGAGGGAGTTGTCACAGATTGATTCAAGTATTCCTTCATGCAACCTTTTTTCCCTGAGGTATCAGCTCACCTGCAAGATTAGTCCCAGTCAGGGCCTAGAGTGGGCCCCTTCACTGTGAGGCTGCCCAGATTGAATGGATCTGGACTTTGGGGTCACACAAACCTTGGTTTGGACACGGCTCTATCTTTTATTAGGGGTGTGGCTTTTGACTGTGACTTAAGCTGTTAGGATCTCTATTTTCATATCTATAAACTACATGAAAAAAATAAAAACCACATCTACCTTGCAGGGTTTTCTGTGAGGAATAAGTAAGATAGTATGTATCTAATAAACTACCCGTGTTCAGTAGGATTTCAATGGATGTTATTTATTTATTTGTTTGTTTGTTTGTTTTTGCTACTCCCCACCCAAGGATATATTTTTCTATTGATTTTTAGAGGGAGTGGAAGGGAAGGGGAGATATATATATAGAGAGAAACATTGATATGAAAGAGACACATCGATTGGTTGCCTCCTGCATGTGCCCTGACCAGGGCCAGGGATTGAGCCTGCAACCTAGTACATGCCCTTGACTGAAATCGAACCAGGGACCCTTCAGTCCATGGGCCGGCGCTCTAGCACTGAACCAAAATCATAGATTGGCCGCCTCCTACAAGTCCCCCACTGGGGATCGAGCCCACAACCCAGCATTGAACCTGGGACCTTTCAGCTCGCAGGCCGACGCTATCCACTAAACCAAACTGGCTAGGGCTTACCTTCTGCACTCTTACCCCTTTAGTATCTGTGCTTCTCCCTAATCCAACTGTCACTGAGTTCCCTCCCAAACATCTCCAATGTGCTGTTTAGAATTCCAGCTTCAAGGCCAATAAACCTGCATAAACCTATACCCTCAATGTCTTCACTGATGCTCCACCTATTTCCTGGTGTAACTGAACCCTGGCTTAAACTAGAAGATGTTTTAGATGTCAACAATGACTGGGCAGTCTTATGAAACATTAACCACCTGTTCTGTTGGTTGCTCATTTACACACAAATATACTCATGTCTCGGAATGTTTTGGGCCAATAAGTGTCTAAAGGCTTGATGCTGGGAAAACATGATGAGGGCCAGGAGGTCTTGTGTTTGGTAAACATCTATGAAAAGGACACAAATTTCTGTGAGCAGACATGGGACTTGAGAGGTAGATAGGGTTGGAGGATTTGTGAAATGACCACCTCATTCTGGTGCCATAACTGCTGATGATTTGATTTGAATCTCCACTGACCAGAGACTAACTCTTTTTAAAAAAAACCTTAGAGCCAGGTGATTGGGCAGGTGGGTTGAGCTGTTGTATTAAGGGTTTTGAGATAACTCCAATGACAAAAGGTGAGAGAGGCCTCCCTCAAGGAAATAACTCTGGGGTTTTGCATCCATATGAGATGGAGAAGAGTGCAATTCCATTAAATCCACCAATTCTGTGTCAGAAGCTCATTTGAGAGTAGCCACCTATTTCTAAGGCTAAGAATAGTTGATGAAGAGTTGGAAACAGATCGTATCTTTTTCTCTATTTTGAATGCTTTATCTCAATGAATGGACTGATGTTTTAAAAACCTAGATATTAGGAGTGCTTAATTTTCTTGTCTTTCTACAGATGGGGAGAAAACTAAAAATCAGAATGAATGCCAAATGTAATATTTTTCTTTCTTTCTGTATTTAGGTATAGCTAGGACTGTTGGTTACCTTTGTAACTATTATGACCATTTTATTTTGTATTTTATATTTATTATGTTTTCTTGAATAAAAGTCTATCTATGAGCTCCTCACTACAACATGAGAAATGTAGCATGTTTTATTTCTTCCCTTCCCCTCCCTGCTCAGATTTTGTTCAAATAATTTGGAATTTCATTTTCAAATTATTAATTTTTTTTACATTGTTAGCTTTGAATTTGTGTGTGTGTTTTTTCAGAAAAGATACACATGGATTTTTTTTTCTAATTGTAGATTATCTAAACATGACTTTTGTTTACTCTTATGTTAAGTAGCATTTGGCTGGGTCTAAAATGGTAATGTTCTTTTCCTATAAATATTTACCCTATTAATTTGCTTTAAAAAGTTCAGAGGTTATATATATATATATATATATATATATATATATATATATATATATAATTAAATATTCATTTGGCAACAAGACTCCTACAATTGCATTATTGTCTACTCAGGAGCTAATGATTGGAAGGTGCATGGCAAAAGGTACCAGAAAGTATTGATATTTAAAAGAACCCTGAGATGGATTATTTCATTGACCAAGGAAGTCTTTATAATATAAATAATCTTATAGTTGGGATTTTTTTAATGTATGTGAGTTTGTAAATTTCTGTACTTCTGAACAATCTTACTTTGTATACCTGCAATTGGACCAGTGTTTTCTCTTTTCCCATGAGTGGCCTCTATCATTGCTAAATGTTTATTTCCACAATATGAATTATGGGGGTAGAACTCGGGGTCATGACGAGTGCTGTGCTGCCTCCCCTTGCAGAGATCAGCTGCGGCCGCCCTCCGGAAGTGCAGCATGCGTCCCTGGTGGGGAATCACAGCTCCAGCCTGGGCAGTGTGGCTCACTACGCCTGTCAAGAGGGCTTCGAGAGCCGTGGGGGCACGATCACTTCCGTGTGCACAGAGAGAGGCACCTGGAGAGAAAGTACTTTGACATGCACAGGTATAGATTTTATTCCCCGGGGCTCCTGTTTGCTAGAAGCGAATGGCCAGCGGGAGCAAGGGACCTAAAGCTGTTCGATTGCTGCCTCACTCTGTGTACTGCGTGCGCCTGGCTATGCCCTTTACCTGGGTGGGCACCTGGCTTTAAGTTTGCCAGCTAAATCCTGAAAATTTAGAGGGTGGATTGGGATAGAAAATTTTATGCTGCCATCTTTTGAAGCTCATGTTAAATCACAGTGACTCCTGTCTCCTCGGCTTGGCTGACTGAGGAATTTTTCTCTATGAACCATTTTCTCAGGGGGCCGTTCCTAAAAGTCCTAACTTAGCCCGTGTTGACAGATTTTCAGAGAGAGGTGATGTAATGAAAAATAGGCGTTTAATGTTTATTTGTGGTAAAATACATACAACATAAAATTTACCATCTTACCCATTTTTCAAGTATTTTCACATTGTTGTGCAACTTATCTCCAGAACTTTTTCATCTCCCAAAACTGAAACTCTGTGCCCATGAAACAATAACTCCCCACTGCCCCTCCCCCACAGACCCTGGCACCACCATTCTACTTCCTGTTTCTATGCATTTGACTAATTTAATTACCTCATATAAGCAAGACCATGTAACATTTGCCCTTCTGTGACTGGCTTATTTCCCTTAGCATGATGTCCTCCCGGTTCATCCATGTTGTCAGAAGTGGTGAGATTGCCTTCTTTTTTGAAAGCTGAATAATATTCCACTTGTGTATCTATTCTGTTGTATTTATCCATTCATTCACTGATGGACAACTTGTGTTGCTTGCACCTCTTGGCTATGATGAATAATGCTGCTATGCACATAGGTGTGCAAATACCTCTTTGAGATCCTTCTTTCAATTCTTTTGGATATATATACCTCCAAATAGAATTCCTGGTGAATAGGAGTTTTGAGACTTCAATTCAGATTCTAGTGCCACCTATGAAGCTGTGTGCCACTTGGTAAGGCATCATTTGCTCTAACCCTGAGTTTCCTCACCTCTCAAAGTGGGAAAATAAAGTCTGCTCTCCCTGCTTCAAAGAGTTGAGAGGGAATCAAATGAGATTATCTACGGGGAGCAGTTTGAAAAGTTTAAAGCACAGTGCACGTGTCAGGTCTTTACTGAAACTATTCGCCTTGCTGAATGAGAAATGTGTGCTTCCACATGCTTTATTTCCCACCGGTGCCTCCAAGAAGCAAGGTGGGAAAAGGCAATGATTCTTACCATTTGGGATGGTTGGTCTGGGGGTGTGACAAATGGTTGAATGACTCTGGGCATGTATTTCTTTTTTTTTAGTATTTTACTGATATTTTTACAGAGAGGAAAGGAGAGGGATAGAGAGTTAGAAACATCGATGAGAGAGAAACATCGATTAGCTGCCTCCTGCACACTCCCTACTGGAGATGTGCCCACAACCAAGGTACATGCCCTTGACCGGAATCGAACCTGGGACCCTTGAGTCCGCAGGCTGACACTCTATCCATTGAGCCAAACCGGTTAGGGCAGGGCATGTATTTCTAAATGTTTACTTTCTTGGCTCCAAAGGCAAAGCGCGGAAGAGTGGAAATCTCAAGGTAGTTTTCATCTGGTCTCTGGTTTGACTTGCAGCAGAATTATGGTAGAATGTCTTGAGCCTTGCCAATCAAAGTTTTCTATAGCAAAGTCTAGCCAGAGAAAGCAAAACGTGACCTGCTGGTGATTATTTGTCCCTAGAGCAATAGTTCATAACCAGTTTGGGGATATAAATTTGATGAAATCTATCAATTCAATAGATATCCATGTAGCATACACTCTGGAGGAGGTACTTCGCTAGATGCTGCCTCTTTGGAATTTACAGGGCAATTAGATAAACAGACTTTTCTCCAAAGAGATGCGCATACACATGTACATACAGTGTTTTACAGATTCGAGGTGTTGTGGGCCTCTGGAAGGCCTGGTGTAGATGGAGAAGTCAGCTCCACTGCGGAGGCCCTGTCTGTGGCATGCAGTTCCACATCCAGTCATCTCCATACAAACACAAGAGGATGTAGGCTAGAGACTGCAACCATAGAAACAACAAAGGGCCCACGTGGATAATAACCCAGAGATCTCTAGAGAGGGCTCCCTGACTTGCCCAACCTGCACAGAAAAGCAGACAGGCCTGTAACTAACAACAAGGACTCCAGGTTTCCAGTCTTAATGGTCATTCCAACCTATTATAGCATTTTCAACGGCACCTCTAAGAGTTATTCGGAGAAAGTGAGGCAGCTGCCTCATGAGGTGCAGAATTCAACATCTGGGGACGCCTTCCTAGCCCAGAGCTATCTACGGGAGTCCCTTGGTAAGAGAGCGGGGCATGGCTTCTGGACCCAGCCATTTGCTTTATTGCTCAAGCTGCTCTGCCCCCACCATTCAGAATTCAAGGGGGGGTACAAAGATTAGTCACTGCATGAAAAACCAGTGGGTCTGCATGGGGCATAGTAAGCTATTAATTAGCCGATGCTTGTAGGCACTTTGAAGAACAAACACGTTATGTAACTGCTAATTTTAATTACATCCTCAGCCTGCCACCTTTCACAGAGTCTGTGGCTCCAGCTTGCAGCCGTTTCCATGGGGTTAGTCAGGCTTTGATTTAAGGAGAGAAAAGGCATTCTCCCTGAGAGCTGTTATCTTTCTGTGAGGAGGCCTCTAGCTCTCAATCAAGATTGGCAACTAAATTCAATTTCCGCAGATAAAGGGGGCCATTTGCATGCTGATCAATTCATAGTGCCCTGCACTTGATCACGGGGCGCGTGGGTGGGAGAGGCGTCTGGAAATGTAGTGAGAGAAGCTGGTTACCCTGGCTCTTGCTCAGCTGCCCCGCCCCCTTCTTTTTCCTTTTCCTTGTTTTTCACCCATTTCTTTATACCTTCCCTTCCGTCCCAGCTCCCTCTGTATATTTGGTGTTTGCCTTCCTCAGTCTTCACTTTAAAAAAAAATTTTTAAAAATTAATTTCAGAGCGGAAGGGAGAGGGAGAGATAGAAACATCAATGATGAAAGAGAATCATCTATTGGCTGCCTCCTGCATGCCCCCGACTGGGGATCGAGCCTACAACCCCAGCATGTGCCCTGACCAGGAATTGAACCATGACCTCCTGGGTCATAGGTCGATGCTCAACCATTGAGCCACTTTTGGGTTTTTCCCCCATCGTCCACTTTTCTGCCTACCCTCTGACTGCCCTCTTCCTCTGTTCTCTGTTTTCATTCCATTTCCAGCTCTTTTTACACTGAATGTTTCGTTCCAAATTGGGGGGAAGAATCTATCTTCATTTTACCCCGGTTGTTTTCAGTTTAAAATCTTTTTGGAGCTCTCTGACTCTGCATCAGTAGCATGCATCTGTCCATGTTTCTAATGGAGTGTGAACCCGGGCAAGGTGGTGGACTTTTTTTTTTTTTTTAAAGGCTGGTTTGGACTGGAAACTCCAGACAGCTGAGAATTAGGTAACTGCTTTAGTGTCTGGAAAAACCCCAGGTGGAAGCTTGATGTTCAGTGAGTTGGTTTCCCTCAAGATCAAAGAGGTTGATTCATTCTTGATAAGCCTATCCTGCCTTTCATTCTGCACAGGTCATTTGGCTTTTTATGTTTAGAGTGTGGGTTAATAATTATAAGGTTGATGCTCACTCCTTCCAGGCTCTCAGAGGGGTAATAATATCTCTATTGGAACACAGACTGTTTATCTGCTGGGATCCTTTCTGAGCCCCCTAACCTGACTCTGGCAGCGACTCCCAACTGCCTCCAGGCCTCCTGGTAGCCTCTGCTCCTTGTTTTGTTGTCCGTCTTCCTCTTCAACTCAGTGATGCTCACTTGCAGTTCTACATGTTTCTGATGGAAAAGCATAGTCATCCAGGATAAATGGGCTCATTTATGTAAATAGCCACAGGGCTGGGTTTGTTTGAACATGTGCATAACGTTTGGACCATCCAGCATTCTAACCATCATTGACTGCATACCAACTTACTCACCCAGACCTCTGCTAGAGGCCTCACTGCTTGAGTCCATTTTGTCCTCAGAAAAACCCTGTAAGATTCAGTATGTTATTTTCATTTCATAGATGAGGAATCTGAGACTCATGAGAGTTAAACAGCTTTCACAGGATCATTCAGCTAATGGCAGAGTTAGGATTTGAACTCAGGTCCATTAGCCTTGAAAGCCCATGATCTCCCTCCTATGCCAGTGTTTTCCAAGCTTGAATTTTTTGTATGCCACCCTGACAATGTTTGCTATAACAAAAGTATTATTTGTTTAATAGTTTTCTTAAAACCATTTATATTTAAAACTTAAAACTATAATTTAAATTTGTTGATCAAGGACATTTTGTAATATATTTGATATCATGAGTGTGTTATTTTTTCTAATACACACAAAAATTAATACAAAGCAATCATTGATTTAAGTACAACCAAAAATCATCCTAAAGTATATGCATGCATTTTAGGAAATCACTACTCTAAGCCATGTTAGTTCTGCTTATTTTCTGACTCTAAAGATTAAAAAAAAGAAGAAGAAAGGAAACATAGCAGAACTCTCATCATTTAATTTATTCAAATATGCACTTATTCCAAGTAGTCACCTTGGGAAGCCATACCTCATTTTGATGCTGCTGCTATGAACAAAATCTGTTTTATAATCCATTTGGGAATTGCCTTTGGAGTGGTGTATGAGTAATATTAGGAGATCAGTCATCTTACTTCTTAAAAAATATGTTTTTATTGATTTCAGAGAAAGGAAGGAGAGGAAGAGAGGGATCGAAACATCAACAAGAGAGAGAATCATTGACTGGCTGCCTCCTGCACACCCTCCACTGGGGATGGAGCCCACAACCCGGGCATGTGCCCTGACCATGAATAAAATCATGACCTCCTGGTTCATGGGATGCTCAACCACTGAGCCACACTGGTGGACTGATTTTTATTTTTTTAAATATATATAAAATTATGTCATCTACTGATAGAGATAGTTTTACTTATCTTTAGGGGGTTTGATTTTAAATAGGTAAAAAGCTATGCCTTCTTCCCATCTGAACAACTTCCTAGGTAATAACTGGGGCCATTGGAAACTGTGTTACCTCAGGGAACCAAGACCCTGATACGGTTTCCCACGTTGCCAAATTCATTACAGGAAATGCATGCAGAATATTTAAAAGAAGCAGAACAACTCGGAGGAATCAGTGGCTTCCTGATAGGTCAGGGTTAAATAGCGACAGTTCAAGGAGTCCCAGAAGTATCCAGGGACCTTGTGAGAATTCATGGAGTTTACCCCAACCTGCTCCTTAGGGATGGTCCTGAGTGGTGATGCATGTCATTTCCCTCTGGGGAGTGGCAGTGACCTGGAAATAAGTGTGCTCCATCAGCCAGTGGCATGAGGAGCCAGAACCAGATCTTACCTGTGCAGCTGCAGGGGAGAGGCCGGGCACAGCTCTGGGCCTCTTTCTACCCCACACGAGTAGAAAGCCAGTGGCATCCAGTGGCCTGTTGGATTGACCACAGGTTGGAATTCTTACCAATACTCACCCAAGCAGGAATCTTTCCTTTTCCTCCAAGTCAGGTCGTGGGCCAGGATCATTCATGATGAAGATAAATGCGGTGACAGGCCTAGGGTAGCTTGACTTGCCTGATTCGGTTTCTAAATCAGAGCTTGAATGGTGAGCAGCAGATACTAGCTGGACAGATAAACAAAGTCATGCTCTCCAACATGGTTGCTGTTAGGATTTTTCCAAAACCCACTGATGCATTTTGTGAGTGGACTATCTCTTTTTCTGTTTTAGAGATAATTATAGAAATTAACGATGTGTCAGTGTTTAATGACACCTGTGTGAGGTGGCAGATACACCCAGGAAGAATGAACTCCAGGATCGTATATGTGGTAAGCAAAGTGATGACCTTTTTCCTTCCAGTGCAGGAATGGGAATCCAGGGGGACACAAGGCAATGGGCTTGCTTCCGGAAGAACCTCTCAATCTAATTGCCCTCCAAATCCCATCATCCTTTAAAAACGGGAACAGTTTTTTTTTTTAAAGATATCTGGATTATTTTACCTTACATTTTGTGTTTAATATATTTGTCATTGGACAGGGTGTATGTGTGGGGATGTATTTATATTTGGTATCAAAGCTTGTTTCCAAGCACTCGTACATCACTCCCCCCGCGTCAGCCTAGAAGTGGCTGCTGTCCCTGTGACAGGTTGCATGGAGCGGGTTTCAAGCTGTGACTCTCGATTGTTCGCCGGTCATCTGTGTGTGGGGTAGCACTTAGAGGGACTCCTCATTTTGTATCACTTCTTAGGGCCTATTGGTTACTGGGCTGATCAGACTTCATTATCAGATACCTGATAGCAGAAGTTTACCTGATTGTCCCCTCTCCCCCAGGGGAGCAGTGCAGTGTAAAGGGAACAGTAGGAGAAAAGGACCCAGCACCATCAAATCTCTCTTGGTCGTTTTAACTGGAGTCATGGTGGGTTCTCTTGTCTTTGCCCCTTGCAAAGGTACATGTGAAAGGACACCGGGCAGACCTGATAGAATCAGTTCATGAGGAGAGAGTCAACCTGACCACAGGCAGCAGGACCCCACAAGTGTGCCTAGACCTGTACCAAGGCACCAACTACACCGTGACCATCTCCACTGCCCCTCCCGAACGCTCCATGCCAGCCATCATCAGGTTCCAGACAGCAGGTAGGTAGAAGTGAAGTCTCATTTCCTCCCAGAAAATGCGAAGCACAGGATGTAGGGGAAATATGCTTCAGAATCAACTGGGCAGGAGAGTTCAGAGTTGCTTTTTGAGATCTGTAGCCAGAAGAATGTCCAGCAGGAGGGATCCCTATACTAGTGATGCCAGGCACAATGTATTGTGTCTCAGCTGGGCGTCTGGTTGAAGTGGGAGGTGATAAGAAGGCATTTAAAAGAGGACAACATGAGGTGATGACGCAGTCAGTTCTCAATTACCCAAGGCAATAGAGGGTGGCCACATGGCTCTTTGGAAATGGCAAAAGTCATTTCCGACTCTTGTCTATGAGAGGAGGAGCCAGGGACACTGACCCAATGGCTTTCATATTAAATGGGAACTGACCCCAGGACTGATCGAGGCTGGGTAATCATGTTGACTGTGGGTGGGTGGATAGGCGTAGGCAGTCCCAGGTGCAGGATGGTAAGTGTTGGATGAAAAGAGAAATTGGCAGGAAGAAGATTCGAGAAGTAGTAATAAACCTCATTGCATATAGTTATCACATACATTTTTATAGTAACACTAGAGGCCCAGTGCACGAATTCGTGTGTCTGGACTGCCAGCCCCAATTGGGGGCGATCGGGCCAGCCAGGGGGAGGGTTTTCAGGGAGGGGCAGCAGGCGGTTGGCTGGCTGGCCACCCCCCCGGGTCAAACTCCCAGTCGAGGGAACAATTTGCATATTAGGCTTTTATTATATAGAACTAGAGGCCCGGTGCACAAAAATTTGTGCACTCGAGGGCGGGGTGCCCTCAGCCTGGCCTGTGCCCTCTTACAGTCTGGGACCCCTCGGGGGATGGCCACATGCTGGCTTAGGCCCGCTCCCCAGGGGATTGGGCCTAAGCTGGCAATCAGACATCCCTCTGGCAGCCTGGCAGCCGTCGGGGGATGTCCACTTGCCAGCGGGGAGCAGGCCTAAGCTGCAGTCGGATATCCTTAGCGCTGCTGAGGAGGTGGGAGAGGCTCCCACCACCACTGCTGTATTAGCAGCCTTGCTTGTGGCTGAGCAGAACTCCCCCTGTGGGAGCACACTGACCACCAGGGAGCAGCTCCTGCATTGAGTGTCTGCCCCATGGTGGTCAATGTGTGTCATAGTGACCAGTCATTCCCAGTCTTTCTGCTGTTAGGGTCGGTTTGCATATTACCCTTTTATTATATAGGATAGAGGCCTGGTGCATGGGTGGGGGCCGGCTGGTTTGCCCTGAAGGGTGTCCCAGATCAGGGTGGGGGTCCCCGCTGGGGTGCCTGGCCAGCCTGGGTGAGGGGCTGATGGCTGTTTGCCACTGGTCACACCCCCTTCCAGGTGGGGGTCCCCACTGGGGTGCCTGGCCAGCCTGGGTGAGGGGCTGATGGCTGTTTGCAGGCTGGTCACACCCCCTTCAGGGTGGGGGTCCCCACTGGGGTACCTGGCCAGTATGGGTGAGGGGCTGAGGGTCGTTTTCAGGCTGGCCAAGCCTGTTGGTGATGGAAACTCCCGGCCTCTCCTTTTTTTCTTTTTTTTTTTATTCTGGGATTTATGTACCTTCTATAATTGAAACTTTGTTGCTTTCAGTGGAGCTGAGAGTGGGCTCCTGCTCACTCCAGCTCCGTGGCCACAGCCGGCTGAAAGCAGGTATCTGGGGTTTATTTACCTTTTATAATTGCAACTTTGTTGCTTTTGAGTGGAGCTGAGAGCCGGCGGCAGACTGTCTTCCTCCATCACTGGAGCAAGCAAGCCTCCTGCTCGCTTCAGCTCCGTGGCTGCCGGCCGCCATCTTGGTTGGGTTAATTTGCATACAGTCGCTCTGATTGGCTGGTGGGCATGGCTTAAGGCATAGCGAAGGTTCAGTCAATTTGCATGTTTGTCTTTTATTATATTAGATTCTAACAGTTGTAAGTTTTTTAAAAAGAATTCTAGTTATAGGGTGTTAGCACTAATTAAATACTTTGTAAGCAAACCTGGAGAAGTCACTGGGGTCATTTTTTATTTGGGGGGAGTTGAGATAGTTTTCACTTAAGAAAATATATGTCAGCCTTCAGTTATTGCTGCCACTAGGAATGGGAAGTGATAGAGATTTGATAGAAATAATAAAAATGACTTCCAATCTTAACAATATAAAGCCAACTATGAAATTATACAAATTAGATCCCTGGGTACTTGTATATGACTAAAACAAAATGATTTCTTCCTAAGTCAATAACATGTAAGGAAAGATATAAAATTAATGTGGTAACTAGAGAAGCTTGTACAAAATTAATAATAAACTGCTATGGATTTATTAGGAATATGTTTTTTTAAAAAGAGCATCCAAGGACTTCAAACTCATTTTTATTGTTCGGTCAGAGTGACAGTTTGCTGTTCAGGGTCAGTCAGCTGTTTTTACTAATATCTTATTACAACACCAAGTTAATTTCCACTGGGAAAGCATGTTCTTTGAGGTCAGACAGACCTGGTTTTGCATCTTAACCCTGCCTTGAAGAGTTGGGTGACCATGGCTGACATGTTTAATGTCTCCAGCCCGCTTTCCTCTGTCTTAAATTTTAAGTGGAGTTGGATTAAATTTGCAAATTAATTTAGTGAGAATTGGGATTTAGATTGAGTTGTCTCAATGGGAAACAGGTACATTTCCACATTTACTCAATATATACTTAGGTTTTGTCTTCCCTGTTTATTTATGCACTTTTGTAAAGATTTATCATTTTTTTCTTCTAGATCCTGTATATTTAACTATTGATTTTATTATCAGGATTATGCTAGTTCTCTTCAAATGAATTGGGAAGTTTTCCATAGTTTTTTATGCTCTAGAAAAGTTTATATAATTTTTGAATTATTCCCTTTCTTTAAAGTTGGACACATTTGCTCATAAGATTATTTAAGTCTCACCCCTTTGGGGATATAATTCTTTGATAACTTTGTCAGTTTCTTCTATGATTATTTTTGGTTTGTTTTTTACGTTTTCTTGAGCCAATTTTTATAATTTATGTTTTCTTTAAAAAGTGTCCATTTTGTTGAGCTTTAAAGATATTGGCCAGATGTCATTTGGAACATTTATTTACAACTCCTCTGGGGTTACGGGTTGTATAACCCCAGGTTATTCTTACTCCTAATTTTGTTGTTTTCTCTTTTTAAAAAATTGATTAGTTTAGTTTGAATTGTCTGTTTTACTACTGCTCTCCCCCCCACCCCCCAATAAACTTAGGTTTTTTTCATTTTTTTTTCTATCTCATTAATTTCTCCCTTATTTTTAATTATTTTATTCTTTCTGCTTCTCTTAAGTTGGTTATATTGTTCTATTCCCAAATTCTTGAGTTGAATGCATAATCCAACTTATTTCCATTCTTTCCTATTTGATAATAAAAGTCTCTAATGCTTCTTTCTCCTAATTTGAGCTTGGGCAGAATTCCTTAGGTATGGATGGATACCTGTTCTCTTTATTCTTACTTTAAAGGCATGATATAATTGCTATTCTGATTTTCCCTTTGATTTAAGAATTATTTATGAGTGTGTTAATGTATGGTCTCTTTATCCTTACTGTCAATGCACTATATAATTGCCATTTTGACTTCCCCATTGATTGAAGGATTAATTATGTGTTATACCAGTGGTATTTTTAAAGACATCTGCACTTTATTGTGATTTCTAGTTTAATTACATTTTGATATTCTTTGGGTGGATTTACTGACACTTTGAGGGGGCTAACTTTTGGCTAATTTTTGTAATTTTGGCCAATTTTTGTAAGTTTGTGGTTGGTGGTGGGTAGTAGAGTGTTTACTTGTAGGTAGAGTGGACCTAGGTTTCAATGAACTCTATTAATAAGATTTTCCAGGTCTTCTGTTTGTTTGTTTTTAATGTTTGTTGCTGTCATTGCTTGCTTGGATTGCCATTTTTTTCTCAATTTCTCTTAGAAATTCTAATGTTTTTGTTTCACACCTTTTGATATCTTGATATTTATGTTCATGGCTGATATCTTAATTGTAGAATTTAACTTTTACTGGTACTAGTAACAAATGGCTCACTTTATCCTGTTTAATATTGTTTGCCTTGAATTATACTTTGATTATTAATATTGTTTTCTTGGTTTCTTTGTGCTTTGGTTTGCACAATACGCCTTCACCCACTTTTGTTCTCCTTAAAAGCTACGTGGGTAACATTGTTAGAGATGTATGCTAGGAGGCTGCATATGTGAAGAAACCTTTTTGAGAAAAGTATTATTTTTTGTAGTTAAGCAATTTACATTAGTGTTGTTTGTGATAAAATTTTCCCTTCTTCTGTCATCTTATTTATTTTACTCTTTTTTATGCTACTTTGTTATGTCCATTGTTTTCTTTTTGCTGCTTGGGTTTTCTTTTTGAATGATTCAGACAATCTAGATTTTGCTTTAATTCTACAATTCATACTCAAAAACAAAAATAAGACTACTTGAATATGTATTCCTCTGATTACCAGCATTAAGATGGAAATAATGTTAACTTCTCCTTGAATAAGATGTGGAAATTAGTATTCTTTATTTCCTTTTATTTTTTCCCCTCTAGCTTCCCTTCTGTTATTGTTTAAACATGACATTTTATTGCCAGCTCATTTCTAATTACTTTTAACATGTATTACATCTTCAAAGAGTTCATTTTTATATTGATTTGTAACAATTATTTAAACAGGTATATGTTTCAACAGTCTCAATGTTTACTGCATTCCCACGTTTCATACCAAAGTTTCTCTATTTTTCTTTATTTTGTCTCTCTGCACAGTGATTTCTATCTTCTACTCCCTGAGGAATGGGATACTTTCTGAGCCCATGATTTTCTGAGAATGTCTTTTTATTGTCTTCACAAGTGAATAAGAGCTTGACTGAAGATAAAATTCTTGGGCCATAATCTTTGTTGTCAGAATTCTGGAGGCATTTCACATTGGCTTTGGGAATTTAAAGTTGTAAAAGAGGAGTTTGAAGAAGGTTGTGATTTAAAAAATCTTATGTAGATACTCAGATTTTTCCGCCTGGGTATCAGAGAGCCTTCCTCCCTTCCTCCCTCCCTCCCTCCCTCCCTCCCTGCCTCCCTCCCTCCCTTCCTTCCTTCCTTTTTAAATCCTTATTGTTGAAAGTATTACAGATGTCCTCCTTTTTCCTCCATTGACTCCTTATAGCCCGCACCCCCACCCCACCCCACTATTGTCTGTACCCATGGTTTATGCATATGTGCATACAAGCTCTTTGGATGATCTCTTCCCACCCACCCACCCTAGTCTTCCCTCTGAGATTTGGCCATCTGTTCCATGCTTCTTCGTCTCTGGATCTATTTTGTTCATTAGATTCCACATATGACATAGAGGCTTCCTTTATATGTGAAATTCACGACGCTAATCACTTATTCATACACATGGGAAATGTTTATTGACTACCTACTACACGTTTGATATTGTTTTAGGCATTGGGAGTTCAATAGTGAATGAGACAGAAATCCCTTCTCTCATGAAACTTCAGCCATGGCCGATAAAAATGTTATTCTCTTTTAAACTAAATTTTCCTCATACCCTGTGAGTTTTTTGGATCTTCAGAATTTGGTTCTATCTACACATTAGGAACATTTTCTTTCATTAAAACTCTGATTATTACGTTTTTATTTTATTTTGTTTGTCCTTTTGGCTCTTCAGGTACTCCTATGTGGAATTGCTTGTCTGTCTGCATTGTTCTTTCGTTTTCTCTTGTGTTATGTCCATGTCGTTTTCCTCTGTCTTCTGAGGATGTGGCACGTTTGTTCTCTGTGTGCATTCATGCACATGTGCATTGACGTTTCTGATCGCTATCATTTCTAATGCACTTTATATTCTGTTGTTGCACTTTCGTTTCCTTTTGTTTCTTTATCTCATCCGGTTCCCTTGTTATTTCTGCCTCTCTTAACCAATGTCCCCTCTGTTAGTGCACTTTCTTATTATTTCATCCTTTATCTGTTTGAACCCATCTTTAAAATTTTTTTTACTGAAAGTATATAACACATGTTGCCTAACTTTGTTATTATTTTGCTCAATATTTCTCCCCCCTAAAGTATGTTCATTCTTTGCCTTCTAAACACAATCTCCCTTTTGCTCTTTGTAGGACCATTTTATGGGCTCCACCCCCTTCTGGATTATTGATTCTTGGAAGATAAAAGTTTTATTAGGTGTGACATTTTTTTGGATAAAATGGATGCTATTGCCCTGGCCAGTGTGGCTCAGTTGGTTAGGTGTCGTTGTCCCTTGACTGAAGGGTTGCAGGTTTGATTCCTCAGTGGGGCACATGCCTGGGTTTTGAGATTGATCCTCGGTAGGGGGTGTTCAGGAGACAGCGGACCGATTTTTCACTCTTGCATCAATGTTTCTCTTGATCTCTCTTTCTCTCCCTCTACCTCTCTTTTTCTTTATAAAACTCAAATATATATATATATATATATATATATATATATATATATATATATTAAAACAGATGTCATTACCTTTGATCTTACTTTTTATTGGATAATATTAGCATGCTTATCTCATACTGAAGGATCTCATCTTGAAGGATTTACTGTAAGTTGGATGATCTAGTGTCCTTTGGGGAACAGCTATGAGAAAACCCACTGCCCTGAGCTTTATTTCGGAGCACTTTGCTGTTCTGATTGGTAATGTTGTTACTCTTGGGCCAGCTCAGCATTGCCTGGCTTCATTGTGATCTTACAGCCTATGAAGGCAGGAAAGAACCAAGTCTCTCCTTTTGCCAACCCAGGCTGATGGAACCTCCAGGCTCTAGGCCTCCCCTTAGAAGATCTCCAGTGTGCTAAAGAGGGACTATCATTATCAATAGTAGTGATAATAGTAGTACATATACTGTTTACTCCGCCTGCCTATCAGATTGCTTGATGAATTAAAAAAAGAAAGAAAGAAAAAGAAAAGATGTTCAACCTTTACTTTAGATCTGCTGTGTCCGGGGGATTCTGATGTGCAGTTAGGATTGGGAACCCCTGGGATAAATGGCTGCAGATGGGGAATTCATCACTTTATTGTCCTGTGGCCTGTTCTAGCTTCCAGCTCCCACCTCTGTGGACACTGTTCCTCCTCCAGTTCCATCCTTTGAGGCTTTGAGACCATGTCCTTTGCTTGGAAGGCATGTTGCGCGGTATCTCTCAGTGTCTTTCTTTCTCTCCCGCTCCCTTCCACGCGGTGCTAAGCTGAACCGTCTTCATGTTTCTGCCTTTTGTACGGCAACCCACCCTTCTTCCCAACCCAGATGCAAATTCTGACCCATTTTTACAATCCTCAGTCACTTCTCTCTGGATTGCGGTGGGAAGTGGGAACCAGATGCCTTTATTCACATTGCCATCATCCCCTGGATTCAGATGATCATGGCTGTAAGTGGGAAAATCCTATGGAGAGGGGAGCTATGCAGACGGCAGTTTTGCTTTATGTTCTGTTTGTGTACATTGACCACATGTGATATTTCTTAACATACATTTGATGTGCCTCAAAGTCATTTGCATACATGTGACAGTTTTTATTTCTGATGTCCTTAGGAAACCTTTAACATAAAAGCTGTGAAGATGAAGGAGAACACATGATAGGCCTTCAGATTCTCTCTCATAACCGTATTTCCACATTTCCAGTTACAGCCAAGAATATTTTCTCCCAGCTAATTGCCTTGTGCTGCAAATGCCCGTGACGGTTACAATTCTGTGGACAGTCCTGATTTTGAGTAGATTAATTTACTGTAATCATCATTAATTCTTAGGTAGCAGAGACTCCTGTGGGAGAAATATACATAAAAGGTGTTTATAAAAAGCTTCCCTCTGACAGACATTCAAAGTTTTTCTCACTTGTAGAAAACATGCAGGCTTGTGTGGTAGGAAATTTGCTTTTCCTTGAAAATTAGCTGTGGTACTCCCAGACTCTTTGTGAGTTCTTTATTCATTACCAACCTCTTCTTTTGATTACATTAAGAAAATGGAGCATTGACAGAATGAATTCGACTACAGGAGGCATGAAATTACTTTTTTCTGTATAGTGGGTGAAATAAGTCTGTTTCTGATTATTTTACTGTCCTAGTACTCATATGAGTAGCTCTCCTGAAATACTGTCTGCTGTGAGAACAAGCATCTCACTAGTCACCTACTTTCTCATCATCTTCTAGGTTGGAAACACTCACTCTAAGAGTTCTATTCCATGGCCTTTGCCTTTACTCACCTTTTTCCTAGTCTCAGACTTTTCTGGCCATTTATGCTTAAAACTTGGCATTTTACTTATGGACCATCTAAGTGATAGGATTAACTTTCTAAAAATACCACAGCTTTATTAGCTTACAGCAATTTTTTTAAATGCGTTTTTTTTCCATTTGGTTCTCTCAATAGCCTATGATGTAAGAGAAGCAAACTGGATGACTTGATTTCACAAATTAGGAAACGGGTTCAGAGGGGCTAATGGGTTAGCTAAGTTCATACAATTAAGAAGTTGTAGAGCCAGGACTTGAAGCCAAATGCAATGCTCTTGCTGTTAAACATCCTATTGGCTCTCTTAAGATGTCAAAATTTCAATTGTAATTAGCCACGATACGTTTTGCTAAGATGATGCAACCTTTCATATGTTCTCTCTTATTTTTTAGAAGATGATCTCTTTGAAGATGATGGAATTTTCAATGTCTCACTATTTAATGAAACTTGTTTGAAATTGAACAGGCATTCTAGGAAAGTTGGATCAGAACAAATGTACCAAGTAAGATCTTTTATGTTATTTATTAAAGAATTGGGCCACTTAAAAATTTGGGTGCTCTCTAAGTGAGGATTCAAAGTTTGAAACCACACATGAAATGAACTTCTAGACAGTTTTATTTTTGTTTCTAGCGGTGGATATGAGATGTGAGATGGATACAAGTGAGGGACTAAATTGAAGGAAGACCCTATTTGGTGACTTGCTATCATTTTCCCTGTCTGGTATTTTATATGTATTATAATTTAGTGCATTTAATAATTGCAGCTTATTTTGCTATTAAGTTCACACTTGGATGTGGGTTTTTTAAGAAACTTATTGCATGGCTGTTGGTCCTCATTTAACTTGACTTTTTTATGCATTACAAATCTCAAGTAAAATTATGAATAAGTTCAGGCAGGAACTGAGATTTATTATTTTTGTGCCATATTTTCAGTGCCTAGCAAATCATCTGGCAACGAGTAGACTAAGTATTAAATTAAAATTAATTAATTAATTAATTAATCACTTACCAAAAGTGTATCATGTATTGGGACCTGGAAATTCTGATTCAAACTAATTATACAGTTAAACAGACCATTACAATATGACATAATGAGTGATTTTATAAAAAGTAAATAAATGAATAGGATATTGTGTATATGTGTGTGTGACCAGGTACAGTTTTTTAAAAACAAGAAGTAAAGATGGTGTTGAATCAAGGAGAATGAGCAAGAATTAACCAGTTAAAGAGGTGGGTGAGGGTGAAGAAGGGCACACTGGGCAAGTAAAGTAGCAAATTGAGTAATAGAGGACGTGACTCTCTTGGGGAACAGAGAAACTAAGGGGAAGTGGGAAGAGGTGAGGCACAAGTCTAAGCAGTGGCCAGATCGAGAAAAGCCCTGTATCGTGTACTTTTATGTGTTGATCTTATGTTGATGTCTATGTGGAGGCACTGAAAGATTTTACGCAGGTGAGTGAAATATTCAATTTTTCATATTCGAGAGAACACTGGGCCTAGAAACATATTCAAGTACCCAAATAATTTAATATAGGATAAAAAATGATCTTTCAAACGAGTACAGAAATAAAGGGTTCTGAGACAATTGGTTAGCTATGTGGTTAAGAAAATACCACATAGTTAAAAAGAAGTTGTACACACCCTAAGACCCAGCAATTCTACTTTTTAGTATGTACCTTAGAGACATTTTTGACTTGCACTTAAGGGATATATAATTGGATTTTCATTACATCATTGCTTACAATAATAAAATATTGAAAATAACTTAAAAGTTCATCAGTTGGAAAATAGAGAATTTTGATGTTTGGTTGAATCATCTGAAATTACTGCTACTCAGCCATTTTATAATACAGTCATAAAACAATATTATATAGGTGCTAAAAATGAATAGACTAGATCAAAATAATTCATCATGGATAAGTCTCAAAAACAAAATATTGAGTGAAAAACTCATACTGTGTATGTGTGGTATGAACACAGACACACTCAGGCAAAAATCAGCTTCTTTAAGATAGAGCATCTACACATGACAATAACTAAAAACGTTTTAAAATACAGAATTTTTTTGAAGATGACAGAAGTATTTGTTGAGAATCATATGCTTTCATGCTCACACTAAAGTGGTGCTTTCCCAGTAGGAAACCACAGTGCTATTGGAACAAGCAGATAGACTCTCGGCAGCCAAAAGTTACAAATTCTCAGGCCCACTCTACCATCCTAGTTCCTTCCTTTTATATCTTTTGTTTCTTTTTTGTTTTTGTTAATCCTCACCTGAAGATATTTTCCCATTGACTTTTAGAGAGAGTGGAAGGGAGAGGGAGAGACAGAGAGAGACAAACATCGATATGAGAGAGACACATCAATTGGATGCTTCCTGCATGTGCCCCAACCAGGGCTGGGGATCAAGCCTGCAACCAAAGTATGTGCCCTTGACTGGAATCGATCACGTGACCACTGAGCAAAACAGGCTAGAACTTGATAGAAAATTATGAGTGAGGAAATTTTGAGGGATTTCTTGAGCGAGATCATCTCTAGTGGGAGTGAGCAGTGCGGACGATTAGGGGATTATGAGATGTTGGTGGAGCAACTCTGATGATGACACAGTCTAGGATGTGACTGTGGATCTGAGTCACTGAAGTTCAGTGAAAGAACTTCATAGCATTGAGCTCAAGGTACTCTGAGGCCAGGTTTTGATGACTTATGTATAAAAACATTTAAATTACACAAGAGAATGCTGGGAATTGGGGAGAGAGGACTCTCCCATGAGCGTTGGATGACTATGGGAGAATAACAGTGATGAGGAAGGATAGCGGGTGGGATAGCCAATAACATGAGCATCAAAGGAAACACTAACCACATGAACACCCAGCTAAAGCACACTGACCGTTCAAGGGCTGATCACATTACATTACTTCTGGGACCCTCACATATATTTGCCCTTATAAGTCCCTATGTTATACCTGCAACCTGAGTTTGGTGATGGAGGGGGTATCATTGGTTTTTGTTGTCTTTTTTTTATTTTATTTTTTTTATCAGAGCTCAACTAGAGAAGAACAAGTGAAGTAACACTGCACAGTTGCTTTGAATGCATAATTTGAAGTAGTTCTCATAAGTTTAAAAACTGTTCCTTGAGGCTTATCTATGGATTTCTTAGGAATGAAAAGAATTTAAAATAATTTTGCCCAACAGCTTCAGGGCAATCTCCTTCACTGGGTAGGCATTAAGGGATCATCTTAGAATAGCCAGACATCTGGCTCATCTGATGAGCAAGTTGTGCATGCTAAGCTTAGTCTGTGGCTGTTTGAGGGGGACGTCGCATAGACTAGGGCGGGCAGCTTTGTAAAGTCCTTCCCCAGGTTAGCTTGCTATTACATTAAACATACTTCTATCTAGGTCAGAACCAATAGAAGGAAACTTCTTGCTTTATAGTTATTTTGCTTCTAGTCTAGATAGCTGCAAGCCAACAGAAAAGGTAATGCAATGCGTTCTTTTAATCTCACGACAGTTTAAAATTCTGGGCCGAAGGTGGTATCTGAGTGATTTTTATCACGCAGCATCATTTAACTTCACAACGGGGGGACGAGCTGCGGTTGTGTGTTTGGACCTGGACCCGGCAACTGATTACACAGCGACTATCACCCTGCTGGGGTCGCCGGAGCAGCACTCAGTGCAAGTAATGGTAACAACTGCACCTGCAGGTAGGTTTGCATGCCCCTCTGCTCTGCATCCCAGGACCACAGGCGAAATATGAAAATTGTACGATGTGGGGGCCACAAAGAATGCTAGTCTGGGAGTCAAGAGATGTGGATTCTAGTCCTAATAAACTACCAACTTTGTCTGGGGATGAGGGTGCCTGAAACTTACCACCTCTCCCCTTCCACACAGGGGGGTGCTGGCTCATAGAGGTACAGACCAGGAATGGACTGTTGGACTCAGAGCTCCCCTGTAGTGATGGATTGAGCATTCTGTGAAGCCTCCTATCTCTCACCCCAAACTTGAGGCCGCTGAGCCTAAGGGTAGTCATTATAGACAGCTAGAACTAACTTCCAGGGGATCAGAAATGTGAGCTGCACTACGTCAGCACTGGCAGGACAGAGTGGCCTCCTGAGAAGACCATGTGTGAGCGCATTAACCCCCATAGAGCACAGTGGCCTAATGAAGGTCAGGTTCCTTAGAAAGGCCCCATGGCCTTGTGAGGATGCCACAGAGAGGCCAGCTCTATCAACTCCACAGCTCCCCCTAGTGGGAAGGGACACAGAAATCTCTATAAGGCCTTTTGTTCTTTCATCTACTGGGGTTTCCCAGACAAATTTATGGCCAACCAGGTGGAGAGGCTGCCCCCTTTGAAGGTAAACAGTAGAAGAGGATGGGTCCTGCTCCTCTCATACTCACTGCAGCTCTTAGCGGGAAGAAATTAATCAAAGAACTTATATGCATATATGCATAATCCATGGGCACAGACAATAGTGCCATGAAGGCCTGGGGTGGGAACCTGGTGGAGTGGGGCAATGGAGGGGGGAAAGGGGGCATTTGTAATACTCTCAACAAGAAAGAATTTTAAAAAGAAATTAAAAAAAACCCCAGCCAGCATGGCTCAGTAGTTGAGTATCGACCTATGAACCAGGAGGTCATGGTTCAATTCCAGGCCAGATCATATACCCGGGTTGCTGGCTCAATCCCCAGTGTGGGATGTGCAGGAGGCAGTCAATCAATGATTCTCGCTCATCATTGACGTTTCTATCTCTTGCTCCTTATCCTTCCCCTCTGAAATCAATAAAAATATATTTAACATATACATTAATTAAAAAGGAGGAAACAGAATGATGATGATATCCACATTCCACCCAAGAGGTTCTGACTTCATCTGTGTGGAGAAAACCACTGTCACACGCAGCATTCTACGAATGTGCCCAATAATAAGGAAAGCAGCTTCTTTGACCACAGCTCAGGTAGTCATTGTGAATTAAAATCAAAAGAAGGGGGGATAGAGCACTCTTCTCTCTATTCCCTGGTAGAAAACCCTGAGGGTAGTTTATGATGCAGATTTCGAATTGCATGCATCATTTGAGCTCTACAGTGACCTTATAAAACATCCCCCATAGCTGATTCCTGTTTACAGAATTGAAGTCCAAACAAAAGATAGTCAAAGGCCACAAATAATTTAACAGTGTTTCTTATATTTTCCCACAAAATGATAAATATTATAACTGTTCTCTGTTGGAGGAGTTATGTCTGAAGTCTGCCTACTTGTCTTACAAACCATTAGCCTGAGAAGTTCATACTTGCAGTTGGTCAAGCCAGAAATTGGCTTGGTATACCCAATCATTTGTAATGTGTCCAAAACAGGGAAAGTAATTTAAAAAAGAAAGAAAAAAGATAGTGATATTGTAGATCCAGCTAGGGAGGACCATACTCATGGGGTAAATAAAGAATTCATTTACATATTGTCTGTGACTGCTTTTGTGCTGCAAAGGCAGAGTTGAGTGGCTGTGACAGAGCTGATGGCCCAGAGCGGTGGTCGGCAAACTCATTAGTCCACAGAGCCAAATATCAACAGTACAACGATTGAAACTTCTTTTGGGAGCCAGATTTTTTAAACTTAAACTATATAGGTAGGTACATTGGTATTAACTTAATTAGGGTACTCCTAAGGCTTAGGAAGAGCCACACTCAAGGGGCCAAAGAGCCGCATGTGGCTCGCAAGCCGCAGTTTGCCGACCACAGGCCCAGAAAGCCTGAAATATTTCCTAACTGACTCTGTAGAAAAAAAGTTGCTGACTCCTCCTCTGAGTCATTTATGTTTGCTTTCATATCCTTTCTCTTGCTTTTCTTTTCTTTTTTATCTTTAAATTCTTTATTAGGTAAGGAATTACAAATGTGTCCTCATCCCCCCTACCCATTAACTTCCATCCTCCCCCCCGCCCCCCCCATGCTCTCATCCCTCTGTTGTCCATGTCCATTGGTTTGGCTTATATGCATGCATACATGTCCTTTGGTTGATCTCTTCCCCTTACCCCCACCCTCCCCTACTTTCCCTCTGGGGATTGATAGTCTGATTGCTGTTTCTCAGTCTTTGGGTCTGTCCCTTTTCATCAGTCCATGTTGTTCTCTATAATCCACAAATGAGTGAGATCATGTGGTATTTATCTTTCTCTGACTGGCTTATTTCACTTAGCATAATGCTCTCCAGTTCCATCCAAGCTGTTGCAAAAGGCAAGAGTTCCTTCTTTTTTACCACAGCATAGTATTCCATTGTGTAGATGTACCACAGTTTTTTAATCCACTCATCTGCTGATGGGCACTTAGGCTGTTTCCAAATCTTAGCTATGGTGGATTGTGCTGCTATGAACATAGGGGTGCACATATCCTTACTGATTGGTGTTTCTGGCTTCTTGGGATATATTCCTAGAAGTGGGATCACAGGGTCAAATGGGAGTTCCATTTTTAGTTTTTGGAGGAAGCTCCATACTGTTCTCCACAGTGGCTGCACCAGTCTGCCTTCCCACCAGCAGTGCAGAAGGGTTCCTTTTTCTTCATATCCTCTCCAACACTTGTTGTTTGTTGATTTGTTGATGATAACCATTCTGACAGGTGTGAGATGGTACCGCATTGTCGTTTTGATTTGCATCTCTTGGATGATTAGTGACTTTGAGCATGTTTTCATATGTCTCTTGGCCTTCCTTATATCTTCTTTCGAAAAGTATCTATTTAGGTCCATTGACCATTTTTTTATTGGGTTGTTTATCTTCCTTTTTTTAAGTTGTATGAGTTCCCTGTAAATGTTGGAGAGTAAACCCTTATCGGTGATAACATTGGCAAATATGTTCTCCCATGCAGTGGGCTTTCTTGTTGTTTTGTTGATGGTTTCTTTTGTTGTGTAAAAGATTTTTTTTTTTTTTTTATGTAGTCCCATTTGTTTATTTTCTTTTAGTTTCCATTGCCCTAGGAGCTGTATCGGTGAAGAAATTGTTTTGGCTTATGTCTGAGATTTTATGCTGCCTGTGATTCCTTTAGTATTTTTATGGTTTCCAGTCTTATGTTTAATTCCTTTATCCATTTTGAGTTTATTTTTGTGTATGGTGTAAGTTGGTGGTCTAGTTTTATTTTTTTGCATGTATCTGTCCAATTTTCCCAACACTATTTATTGAAGATACTGTCTTGACTCCATTGTATGTTCTTGCCTCCTTTGTCAAATATTATTTAAGCATAGTGGTTTGGGTCGATTTCTGTGTTCTCTATTCTATTACATTCCATTGATCTATATGTCTTGTTCTTGTGCCAGTACCAGGCAGTTTTGAGAACAGTGGCTTTGTAATAAAGTTTCTTCTTAATGTCTATTAATTCCTTAGACATAATTGGTAATTAAAAGTATTAATAAAATTTCTAGGCCAAGAGTGCCCTCTTCTGTCATTGAGTGAAGTGCAGTTTCTTTAGAGGATATTTTTGTTGTGTTTTTATTTTTTGGTGAGGGTGGGGTTGAATTGTGTATTCTATTCTGGGATTCTCTTTTGCCTTGTGGAATCTTGCATTTCCCTCTGAGTTCCTTTTCCCCATCACCACGTAGTCTCCCAAGGACACCAAGTCCTTCCTTTTAATTCTCTTCTTTCCCAGAAGCAGTACCTTTCTCCTATCAGGAGTCTCAGAGACTTGTGAGACTGAATGGGTTATGGAGAACCAGCACAATTCCTAATACACAATAAGCATCTACCAAATGTTAATTTTTACTTACATTTACCTTATGACATTTGCTATGCACTCTCTTGTATTTTTGTTATACTGATAGAGGGTGTAACTCTTCTCCTAGATGAAATACATATTAAGGGCAGAAACTTAATATGTCTTAACCCAAGGGAACAGAGGAGCTCTGAATAAGACATATTAAGTTTCTGCCCTTAATATGTCTTATTCAGAGCTCCTCTGTTCCCTTGGGTTAATATGGTATGAGGTGCTTAGCCTTTCCCTTATTGCTGATTGTTTACATCTAAACGACTAGAAATGCTGTGCTTGCCATTGTCCTGGACACGATGAAGCAGGAGCTCTCAGTTCAATGGGGTGATAGACAAGGATCAATAGTAATACATAAAATGTAATTGAGGCCTGGCCGGTAGCTCAATTGTTAGAGCATTGGCCCCTGCACCTAAGGGTCTTGGGTCCGATTTCTGGTCAAAGGCATGTACCTGGGTTGCAGGTTTGATTCCTGGCCCCAATCGGGGTGGTTGTGGGAGGCAACCAATCGATGTGTCTCTCTCACATAGATGTTTCTCTCTCTCTTCCCCTCCTAATCTCTATCCCTTCCATTCTCTCTATAAATCAATGAGAAAAAAAAAATCCTCAGGTGAGGATTAACAAACAAAATGTAATTGAGGTATTTGCAAGGTACTAAGGGAGTACAGAGCAGAGTTGCTCTCCCACATTCCTGTGAGCAGGAGGAATTACAGACCCACCACTACTGTACCATTACGTGTGCATACCCAACACCATGTGGGAGTCCAATATTAGCTTATCTCTGTGGATAACTATTTCCCAACTCAGTTTATTTTCCACTGATTTGAAATTTCACTGTTTATAAATTCCCATGCATAGATAGATTTCTGGATTCTGTTTTGTTTCATTGATCGATTTATTTATTTATTTATTTTTAAATATATTTTTTATTCATTTCGAAGAGGAAGGGAGAGGAGAGAGATAGAAACATCAATGATGAGAGAGAATCATTGATCGGCTTCCTCCTACATGCCGTCTCCTGGGAATTGAGCCTAGGCGTGTGCCTTCACTGGGAATCAAACTTAATGCTCAACCATCGGGACACACAGGCCAGGGTTGCTCTATTTATTTCACTTATACCTTTAGTAGTTACAAACTGTTTAATTATTGTAGCACTCTTAATGGGGGTGATACCACCTTCAGGGGTCAAAATTCACTCCAGGAGGGCAAAAATTAGTTATTGAGGGGCAAAAAAAAAAAATTATTCTTTTTATATATGAAGCATAGTATACATACAATATCTAAGAAACACAATTTTCTGTGGTATTAAAAAAAGACTGTTTATGTCCCTAGCTGCTTTGGCTCAGTGGATAGAGCATCAGCCTGCAGACTGAAGGGTCCCGGGTTTTGGTTACGGCCAAGAGCACATACTTGTGGGCTCGATCCCCAGTAGGGGGCATGCAGGGGGTAGCCAGTCAGTGATTCTCATCATTGATGTTTCTCTCCCTCTCCCTTCCTCTCTGAAATCAATAAAGATATATTTTTTAAAAATAAAAAAGACTGCTTATGGGACTATAATGAAAAAAGGTTGAGAAACACTGTTATACCTTTATAATAGGTACTGATACCTTGCTGTGTCCTCTTTCAATAGCTTTTCCCTTTGCTATTCTCATGAATTTTCCCAAAGGAATTTAGCAGTTTTGCTTTCTATTGAATGTGTGTGCCCAACTGATTCCTGCATCTGGGCCTTTGACCTTGGAGCCCTCTGTGTGACCCTTCTATCTCCATTCTTGGTGGCTCATTCACTCACATCCTTCAGGTCTCTACTTATGTATCACATCCTCAGAGGGCCTTCCCTGGGCATTCTAGCTGTCCCATTATGGTGCTTTTCTTCATAGCCTTTACTAGCTCACAAGATTATATTTTTATTTATTTGTAACTTTATTTTCTGCCTTTTTAACTAGAATGAATTCCATGAGGTGCAGGGATTTTGTTCACCACTTTATCCTTAGCCCCTAAGGCATGCCTGGCATATGGTGAGAACTTTCTAAATAGTCATTGAATGAATGTGTAAACTTACCACATTTCAAGGAGGGCCATCGGAATCACCATTGGAAGTGCAGTCCATTTATAGGTTCATTGGTGGAGAATTGATTTCTTTTCACCTGCGAGCCTTCCTGTTCACAGATGTGTCATTTCTCTCTTTATTGTTTTCTTCTTTGTCCTTCAGGAAAAAAAGTTTAAAAAATCTTCCTGCAACTCTTGGACATTTCTAGTTAGATTTATTTCCAGGTATTGGAAGTTTGTTTATGGTGTGGTTTTTTAAAAAATATTTTAAAAAATATCTATCTATCCATTAAATATATTGTTATTGATTTCAGAGAGGAAGGGAGAGGAAGAGAGAGAGAGAAACATCAATGATGGGAGAGAATTATTGATTGGCTGCCTCCTGCATGCACTGTACTGGGGATTGAGCCCACAACCCGGGCATGTCCCCTTGACTGGAATCGAACCGGGGCCCTTTAGTCCACAGGCCGACACTCTCTCCACTGAGCCAAACCAGCTAGGGCTTTATTTATTTATTTGAGAGAGAGTGTGAAAGAGAGAACTTGAACCTGACTGAGGGATCAAACCCACAACCTTAGTATATTGGGATGACACTCTAACCAACTGAACTATCCAACCAGGGCTGTTCATGGTGTCTTCTCTTGTGAATAGGGATCTTTTAATTTTTCTGTTGTCTTTTATTTGGTGTTTTACTTTCTGATTGCTGGTTTAAGTTACTGCAAATTTAGTGGCTTAAAAGAACACAAATTTACTATCTTATAAAAAGAGGAAAATTCATTTCTTTGCCCTTTCCAGTTTCTGGAGCCTGCCTACATTCCTGGTGGAATTCTCTATCTTTGAAGCTCATCAGTTTAACCTCTGCTTTTGTCCACAAATCTTTTTCTAACCTGGATTTTCTTTTTCTTTTTTTAAAAAAATATTTTTATTGATTTCAGAGAAGAAGAGAAAGGGAGAGAGAGATAGAAACATTAATGATGAGAGAATCATTGATTGGCTGCCTCCTGCACACCACCTACTGGGGATCAAGCCTGAAACCTGGGCATGTGCCCTTGACTGGAATCGAACCTGGGACCCTTCAGTCTGCAGGCTGACGCTCTATCCACTGAGCCAAACAGACTAGGGCCTTTTTATTTCTTTTTTAATTGACTAGAGAGAGAGAGATCCACGTGAGAGAGAAACATCGATTGGCTGTCTCCTGCACGTCCCCTACTGGGGATTGAGCCTGAAACCTGGGCATGTGCCCTGACCTGGATTTGAACTGGAGACCTCCTTCTGGTGCACAGGATAGTGCTCAACCAACTGAGCCACACCAACCAGTTACTCTGCTTTTCTTGTCTTCCTCTTATCAGGACCCTTGTCACTACTTTGGGCTCATGTGGCTAATCCAGGAAAATCTCTGGAAAATCTCCCTATTTTAATCACATTTATAAAGACCTTTTGCCAGGTGATGTAGCATGCTCACAGATTCCAGGGACCAGGGTGTGGACATCTTTGGGGGGGCCGTTATTCAGCCTGCCATACTTGTTCTTGCAGCTATATAGGAAACTATTAGTTTTTCTATGTTCTTGTGGTTGTGTGCACTTTGCCAAACTCCCATATTTGTTTTTCTGTTTTCAAGCCATTTTATATTTGTTTTTCAGTTGATTCTCTTAGATTTACTGGCAGTTGCGTCATTTGTTCTCTTTCTTACTGGTATTTATAGCTCATTTTTTTCTTGCCTCTTTCTGATTGTCTGGAATCTTCTGACTAATGCTAACTAATAGCTATGAGACCGTGCATCCTTGTATTGTTCTTAACTTTACTAGAAATTGCTTCATTGTTTTACTGAGAATGTTTTATAAGCATGGTGGCTTCTAATAAACACTTTTAAATTAAGGAGTTTCTATCAAATTAAATCCTAGTTTATTAAGATTTTTAGTTAGGAATGTATTAATCCTAAATATTAAATGTATTCATCATTGTAATTATAAAAATAACCATATGTTATTTTCTCTTTTCATCTATTAATAGCTTTCCCAATAATGATCATCTCTGTATTCCCAGAATAACTCTCTCTTGATCATAGTGTATTGTACTTTGAGTTTACTGCCTATTCGCTAATGTTTTATTTTGGATTTTAGTATTTATAAGTGAGTTTGGCATAGTGTGTTCAGTGATTGGTTGTGCCATCCTTGTACCGTTTGGGTATGTGATTATCTAGTCATAGTGAATGAACTGGGAAACTTGCCACCTTTTTGTATAGTCTGGAACTGATTAAATAGTAGTGAAGTTATTTCATTTTTGTATGTGTCATCAGTGTGAGGTTCCTTGGGCCACTATTACTTATCTCTAAAACCATCTTCTCTATCCAGAAGTGAGGTATGTTATCCTGAGTCATCGATACCTTCTTACTTACTTGGTCTTACAACATTTAGAGGATAGCATGTGACCTGTGGGACAGGTTTTCTCTGGGCAAAGCCACCTGGTCCATAAAGAACTCTCACGTTGACCAACTTGGCTTCATTCGTAGGAACCTGTCAGGCCAGGGGCTTACACATAAAGGCTTGGCTCTCATGAGACTTCTTTTTCAGATGCTGTGGGAGTTGTCTTTATCACGTCTTAATTATCACAGTGTTCCTATGAAACTTCTTAGCAAGCCTGCTCTCTCTCTCTCTCTTTTTTTTTTTTTTTTTTTTACTTTAGGGACAGGGATAATTATTGAAGGGGGTAGACCTCTGATATCAGAGTTTTGAAAAGTAGTCTTTATTTTAAAAAGCTGGCGGTGGAGGTTGCTTCTTTGTTACACTGTACTAGATCTGAACTAACTTTGGATTGATTACCATGAAAGGGAGCAGAGGCCAACAAGTACTTTGATCATAAGAGATGAGGAAGCCCAACCAATAGAAGCCCAACCAATAGAAGCTCTTTCCATCATGAAAAGCCTGACTGCTTAAGATAGGGATGTTCAGGCCTTCACAGAGCGATTCTCAGTTCAGGGCTGAAATGTTGCCCTCAACTCAGAATTGCAAACTGATGCTTATTTGTATAAGTGATGTTGTCCAAAGCTGGTACAATGAGTTGCTGTTTTAACTTAAGTAAACCAAGGGAGTTTGGAGAAAAATTGGACATTTAAATAGTTTTTTTTAAAGTATCATATTTTTTTTAAAAAAAAACCATGTTTTTATTTTATTTTATTGATTTCAGAGAGAGGAAGGGAGAGAAAGAATCATTGATCGGCTGCTTCCTGCACGCCCCTTACTGGGGATTGAGCCCACAACCCCAGGTATGTGCCCTGACTGGAAATGAACCATGACCTCCTGGTTTATAGGTTGATGCTCAACCTCTGAGTCATAGCAGCAGGACAGATTTAAATAATTTTTAAGAGGGATCCTCTGATTGGGCATCTTGTAATCCTACATCTTTCATTAGGGCTGATTTTACATAAATGTAAAAGTGTGTTACCACTCATTTGTAAACTAAAATACTGCTGAAATCATTCTATGTAAATGCTTATCCTTGGAAAATGAAAAGGTAATATTTTTGTACAGGGTGTCCAATGACTTCTCATTCTTTTCTCCCTGCAGTTAAACAGACCATCAGCAACACTTCAATATTTAATGAAACCTGCTTGAGATGGAGAAACATGAAGATAGCTGGTAGAGAGGAAATGTATTTAGTGAGTTACGGAAAGTTACTCTATTGATGGCTGTTTGTGTTGTGTGGGAGGTTTAAAAAATATCAACGCACCTAAAAATCTGCTTACATAGCTGCCATTGCCAATAAGAGAATTATAGTGACAGTTACAGTCAGAAGCAATAAAATGGGCACTTCTGCTGCATTTTTGACAAGAGTGACCTTGGGGACTGGTGAGAAAGCCAGGAGAGGTGTTCTGGGTATGAGCACATAGCCGGAGCAGAGTTGAGAGTTGACGTTCAGGCAGGATCCGAGGAGGAATCCAAAGGCTTTTGCATGTGTGTGACTCTCCACACCAGTGTCTGAATGTGTTGCCTAGAAAGTCCAGGGGAACTTTGGAAGCTAGATGTGGTTGTCAGTAAGAAAGTGAAAGATCCTGGGATGAGCTGTTACTAAAAGGAATTAAGTAGAAAGAAGCGTGTGTGTGTGTGTGTGTGTGTGTGTGTGTGTGTGTGTGTGTGTGTATTGGCGCAGGTACTGGAATGTTACAGGAAAGTATAGGGAATGTCAGAAAGGGGTGGGCAGAGGAGAAAAACCCTTCCCAGGTTTCACCAGACCACCTGAGGGTGTCCTAATTCATGTCCTGCTTTGGAGAAGCCCTACTTCAGATCTTTGTTGTTGTTGTGAATCCCGTTGATTTTTTAGAGAGTGGAAGGAAGGAAGGGAGGGAGGGAAGGAGGGAGGGAGGGAAGGAGAGAGAGAGAGAGAGAAAGAGAGAGAGAAAGAGTGAGAGAGAGGAGACACATCAATTGGTTGCCCCCCTCATGCACCCTGACCTGGGCCTGGGATCGAACCTGCATCCCTTGACTAGGATTCAATCCCGAGACCCTCAGGTGCGTGGGCCGATGGTTCTAACTGCTGAGCCACGCCAGCCAGGGCCTCATGTCAGATTCTTAATTTTCTTTCTAGGGAAATGTTCTTCGGCTTTGCTTCTAAAATTTTGCCAATGGACTTTCACATTGAACTATGTATGTGAGAACAAGAAAGAGAAAGTTGCCAGTGTTTGGCCCTCGACCTTTCGTGCATTTTGATATAAAAATATATTTATCACACTGACAATATTGTAACTACAGTATTTGTGGTATGATGACTCTAATCTTTACGTATTGCTGCATTTCACGTTTTGAAGGAACTTTAGAGTCAAGGGCAAGAGAGTTCATGAGAAAGGTAAAGATCTAGCCCTTCAAGCTCATGATTCACCTGTGAACTTGTCTGTGTTCTAGCTCCGCATTCAGGGCCAGAGATGGTATCAGGAGGAGTTTGCCCAGGAAATCACCTTTAATATCACCAGCAGCAGCCAGGCTCCTGAGATGTGCTTAGACCTGCGCCCGGGTACCAACTACAGTGTCAGCATTTACGCTTGGTCTTCTGTCCTTCCCGTGCTCATCTCCCTAACAACCCAGATAACAGGTACATCTCAAATAAAGGTATTTGGATGCACAGGATCACCACGGAGCTGTGGCTAGGCCTGGATAAAGAGGGACAGTATTCCTTTTTATCATTATGTGATGAACTTCAAGAAAGAGAGGAAGAAGGACATGGAATTGGAGAGGGGTGCTAAGGGGCCTGAAACGGTGACTGTTTTATTTCTTACAAAGGTGTCTGAAACAAAATGTTATCTTTGGTTAAATTTTGGGTAGTGTGTACCTGAGTGTTGGTTCAATTCCTTCTGTATTTGTGCTTATAGCCACCAGGGGGCACTGGTGAGCTGCTTAAGTTCATTGAGACCACAACAGCATATTTTCCAACTCTACCCTACTTTAAAGAATTTGCAATTTAAAAAAAGTGTAAAAATTCAAGCTGTTAAGATCTTATGAAAGTGGGGTGGGGGGAGGGGAGGACCCATCCCTTTTATAAAAGAGGAAAAAAGGGAACTTTATATGTTGATACGAAGAGGTACGCCTGCCTAAGATGTGGCTTTATTTTAGTAAAATTGTGAACTTTTGAATTTTACCAGAAATGTTAGGCAAGGCATTTGGGTCTGGAAAATGCAAAGCAGCTGATTTCCCAGAAGAAAAGTGAATGAATTTTCTTCTGAGTGTCTTACATTAAACAAAATCTTCCTCATGGGAATAGGATGAAAACTAGCGCTCTAGCTGTGGTGCGGTGCTGCTGACTTCAGCAGAGGTCTGAAGTTCTAGGAATGCGGAAGGACAGGGACAAGTGTTGCCGTGAAAGGGGGTGAGAGGGGCGGGTGAGGTGGAACTCCATTCGGTGGCTTTTAGAAAACGTGAATGGGAACTTTTTAAAATATATATATATATATATATATCAGAAGAATATATGTTGTTTTGTTTAGAGGCACATGTGGTTGTCGAAGATGTGGCTTTGTTTCAGAAACATCCTGGACTTTTGAATTTGACCAGAAATGTCAGGCAAGGAAGGGGGTCGGCCCTGGAAAATGCAGTAGCTGATTTCCCAGAAGAAAAGTGAATGGGATTTCCCTTCCGAGTGTCTTACACTAAACTAAATCTTACTGATGGGAACTCCCAGGAACCCAGAACCAGGGTTTCTGTCGGGCAGAGGAGGGGGGGAGGGGCATGCTGCAACTTAACAATTTAATTCAGCGGACATTTATGGATTGGTGATGTACAACGAGCCGGGCTAAGTGCTGACGGAGATGTAGAGATGAAAAAAAGATTGTTCCTTCTTGCTGGGAGCCAGGTCTTTATCGATGGGGAGATGTAGCTAGCCTTGTGATGTCTGATGACTTATGGTGTAAGCTGCCAGTTCTCCTGCTGCCATCAATTTCAATTGATCCTGCCTTCAGTGGGTGGCAACATCTCGATGGGGTGGTAAGGATGAGAAAAGAACGACTGTGGTGTCTTTATTTATGCATATTTATTTATGTGTATTAATTCCTTGCACTTACTTGAAGTTTACATAGTATGATGTTGGGACTTTGGTTTTGGTACAAATACATTTTTCTCCTGTTTTTGGTTCTTTAAGTTCATTTTGGTGGGTTTTAGAGGAATTTTAACACATTTGCCCTTACATTACCTCTTTTCTCTATGGATTTTAATAGTTTGTCTACATTAGTGAAATGAATCTTTTGTTCCATCTATCACAACCCCCAGGCTATTTACACTTCAATATTCTTTTTGACATTTTAAAATTTTCATGTGATCAATTCCATCGATTCCTTTATGGTTTCTGCCTCTGGTCATGCCAAGAAAAGCCTTCCCTACCCTGGAATCAGATTAATTCTTGTTTTCTAGTGCTCTTAATATCTTTGCTTTTCACGGTTAAACTTAGATCCATTTGGGATTGGTTTGGATGTGTGGTGTAAGGCTAAATTCACATGGTAGTATCCCCCCAAATGATAAGCCAGTTTCCTGTCACCTTTGGGAAGACTATTCATGTCACACCCTTATTTACTTTCATTTATTTATTTGGGTCTCTTTATTATCTTTTTATTTAAAAAAATCTTTTTTCAATTATTTGGGTCTCTTTCAAGATGGTCCTAGCTTCTTCCGTTCCTTTGCCTGCCCTGTGCTTATGTCTTACTATTTCAATTATGGTAATTTTAGAATATATGTAATATTTTCCAGGTCAAGTTCTTCATTGCTGTCCTCCACACTCTTTCAAGTTTTCCCACAGGGCAGCCCCAGATTGTTCTTTGCTTCTAGGAGGGGCTGGATGTTGTCAACACCCGGGAATGGCTGTGAGGGTCGCCTTCTGGGTCCTCCCACCGTACACGCCCAGAGGAAGGGACTGCGCTCTGCAGACACCACCCGTTCCTTGCCTGAAATCTGATTTTGGTTCAATCCGCCACGAGGCTAAGGGAAAGGAGAACAAATCTGCCAAGCACAGCAGCTGGGGGGATGGGGAACAGGACCGTGGGAAAAATGGCTGGAAGTTAACGTTCTTTCACCGCGAAAGGTGGCGGAGTGAGAATGAGCGTGATGAGGTTCAGGCGTGTACCCTGGGGAGGTGGAGCGGGCTGTTGAAACCTCAGGTGGGAAGGCCCAGCGCAGGCCGAGCAGAAAGCACAGGCGACTGAATCAACCTGATGGCAGCGGCACATTCAGAACCGAAACCCGGCGGCCCTGGGCCGAGCCTCGGACGCCTCCTGCTCGGCTGCGGATGCGCCTTTCAGAGCTGAGCGAGCGGTTACCGAGGGCGAGGGCGGTGAGAAAGGGAGAAACGGGTGGTTTGAAAAGGTTAGTAGAATTAGAGGTTTTCATCTCGGGGAAGATCACACAGAGGAATAACTTAAAAGAGCCTCTGGAGGGTTCTCACAGAGAAAAGGTTCATCTCGCTCTGGGCGGAAAGCAGGAAATGTGTGATGAAAACCACTTACCTTTACCGAGACACCAGAACAGCACAAACAGAAGGGCATCTCAGTGGCAGCATGGGGGCTGGGGGCAGAAAGCCGCAAACCGGAAGGGGCACATTCCCGTGGGGCATGGGCCGGGCCTTTGCCAGCTGCCTGCCCCGCTTCGGGTCCTTACCCGGAACCTGCTGGTCTCGCTGGGGAGTGTCAGTATGGACTCTCGTTCTGGATGCCTCTTAGAAACAGCCTTCAGCACCTTTGTGTGAGGCCCTGATTGTCGCCTCCCGGGGTCCCCGGCAATTCCACAGGTTTCATACATAATCCGAGTGACCATACCTGGTGACACTGGAAGAAATTCCAGATTTAGCGCTGCGTAACAAAAGCTACAGGGACTCTCACTCTTCCACTTGGTCCTAGAGGCCTGGGTTGCCCAGTGGTTCCCTCTGGGCCCATCTTTTCTCAGATGCATTTATACTGTCCCCCGAATAACCAGAGCCTCTCCTACTGACGACTGACTCCCTGGCACCACCACAGTGTGCTGCTGAGCTCTGGACCTGTATTTCTACACTTGATCTTAGCCAAGAGGCCGAGAAGCAATCAGATGTGTGTTTCCAACTGGCTGCTGGACAATCCCATAAGCACGTCGAACTTCACAGGGCCAGTAGGGAGCTGCTTCTGAACTTTCCCCTTGGATCTTGATGAAGGTGGTCACCACTGACTCAGAGGCCAAAACCCAAGCCCAGATCCCTTCCCCTTCCTTGTCTTCCACCACTTCCTGTTCCATCTCTTCCCATCTGGCCCTCTTCTTCAGTCTCCATGCCACTTGCCTCACACCTCAAGCACTGCTCACCTAGATTTTAGATGGCCTGTACACGTGCTCTTTTCCAATTCATCTTCCAATGAGCCATCTAAATTGTTCTTCTAAAATATGCATCTGCTAAGAATCTTTTTTAAAAATATATTTTATTGATTTTTTTATAGAGAGGAAGGGAGAGGGATAGAGAGCTAGAAACATTGATGAGAGAGAAACATCGATCAGCTGCCTCCTGCACACCCCCTACTGATGATGTCCCCACAACCGAGGTACATGCCCTTGACCGGAATCGAACCTGGGACCCTCCAGTATGCAGGCCGACCCTCTAGCCACTGAGCCAAACCAGTCAGGTTCTTTTTTTTTTTTTTTAATTTCAGAGAGGAAGGGAGAAGAAGAGAGATAGAGACATCAATGATGAAAGAGAATCATTGATTGGCTGCCTCCTGCACACCCCACACTGGGGATGGAGCCCACAACCCAGGCATGTGCTGGGAATCGAACCATGACCTCCAGGTTCATAGGTCGATGCTCAACTACTGAGCCACGCTGGTGTCTGCTAAGAATCTTTAAATGACTTCTTATTTCTAGGACTTAGATCTGACCTCCACCCACACCTCTCACTTTATGGCCTGCCCCTACCCAGCTGGACTCATCGTCCGCCATACTGAAGTGCTGCCCACACCCTCTCACCTCCTGCTCCTGCAGATAGCTCTTTCTGTGTGCCATAGGCTCCCTCCTCCCCTCGCCCAGGTGTATAACTTTATCATAGCTCTAAGCCTCTTGTGATTACAAAACTGTCTCTGCTATTTTCAATAGAGCTTTTAAAACTATCTAGGAAGGTCTACATTTTTATTTATTAAAATTTGGAGTGAGAATTTCTACCTCAAAGGTATATTCTAATTGGGTAAATAGAGTCTGTTTTGGCCTCCCAGTCCTTGATTTCATTATGGCAGAGTTTAGGGCCAGAAGGGGGGATACTCATATTTTATTCCTTCTCTTTCTCTCTTCCTCCCTCTGTCTGTAAATCTCATTTACTCGATAGCATTGTTGAGAAGATTAAATAAGATGAGGCATGTACAGGACACGTCTAGTGCATTCGGTTAGTGGTCAGTTCATCCACAAGGCAGAATGGCAGCTGGTACATGAAGGTAGCTTCTGGTTAAATGCTAGAACACTGGTGTCAGACAATTAGTATATTCTCTTCCCAGTGGAAAATCCATTTGGGGAGTTTGATTGCCGGGGAAAGCAGACTAAAGACAGAGAACTGTGTGATTGTAAAGGATCTAGAAGTCTAACGTGCTGGTCTTCTCCACCAAACAGGGACCTGTCCACTCAGTGAACGATAATGCCCAGAGCACCCACCCTCCACCAGTGCTCGGGTATCGCTTCTTACTTTATTCTGGCAAAATATATGTAACATAAATTGTACCATTTTAACCATTTTCCAGTACACAGTTCATTGGCATTAAGTACATTTACAGTGTTATCACCATGACCTATTGCTAAAATGTCTTTATCACCCCAAACAGAAACTCTGTTGACCCATAAGCAATAACTCCACATTCCCTGACCCAGCCTCCTCAGTCCTTGGCAACTTCTAATCTACTTCCCTGTGTCTATGGATTCGCCTGTTATAGCTATTTCATAGAAGTGGAATCATTCAGTATTTGTCCTTTTGTGTCTGGCTTATTTCACTCAGGGTAATGTTTTCAAGATTCATCCATGTTGTAGCATGTACTCGGATATGCTCATCACTTCTTACATTAAACCTTTCCTTTTGTTGGCCCCACGAGGACCACTTTCTTCCTGCTTCTACTTATTCTGATCATACTCTTTTCTTCTTTTCAACATGTTTTCAGAGCCTCCCCTTCCGGAAGTAGATTTCTTCACAGTGCACGGAGGGCCTCTCCCACGCCTGAAACTGAGGAAAGCCAAGGAGAACAACGGGCCTATCAGGTCAGTAGCAGCCCCTTTTCCAGGGCTGCCCAGGAATCCTCATGGAGTGCTTTGGAATCTTTGGGTGGCAGCACTTGAATAGTTGGGTACAGATTGGACCCTTAATTTCAACCAGTCCCCTTCCAAACAAATACAGAGACTTCCAAAGGACCAGAGACCAGCATTTAGGCAGCTCAGGTCAAGAAATTCAGTCCATTTCTTTGATCATTGGACAAGCAATGGTTGGGAGTCTGGGACATGTCAGGCATTTTCCTTGGCACTCAGATCTCCACGTGTACCTGTTAGTGGCGGTGGATCAGGGGCATCATTACATTTATCAAAACCAGTACATATTTTCCTTTACTTAAGGATGGGCGGCTTCTGAAAAGGTCATTTGGATAATTCTTTTAATTCACTCATGTATTGAGTTATAGGCAAAATACCACATAGTTAATGACTGCTTCTGGAATCCCAGATAGTAGTAGGATGGAATTAATTTACCTCGGTTGGAGGACTACATTGTGTTCAATTAAGCATTTTATTTACAAAGGTCATGATAGGGTCCCGAAAGCAGAAGTATCCCCTTTTTAAGAGAGGAAGATAGAGGTTTGCCTGGAGAGATAAGCAACTGCCCCACAGGCACACGTCAAGGAGATAGCAATGCCTCGCCATGCTTGACCTAACGGACATGGCTTTATCTCTCTTGACCCGTCGGTCCAATCCAAGCATGAGATACTATAAAAAAGAACACCTGGGGACACTTGTGTGTCCACTGATAATGAAACTTAGGCGTCTTCTGTCTTCCCATTAGTTTACGTTCAGTAAATGCTCAAAGGCCTTTCCAGGGATGGATGTTGCCTAAATTGTTCTATTTCTTGATTCCTGTCAAGTGACTGGAATGCACTGTAATTCTGTTGTTATAAAGGCAACAGAAGTTGTGACATCACTACCTGAGAGCATTTGCAAGAGAAAATGTGATATTTGGAACAAATAATGATGCAAGGCAAAAAGAAAAGCCAAATGACAGTCTACCCTTATGGCTTGTGCAGGCCTGTGCCTCCAAAACAGGAAGTGGAGATCTGTGAGTCATTCAAAGGGGGGTGGTGATGACAAAGAGGGGAAAAGTCCTTCCAGTGACTCAAGGGAGGGTGTGCTGAGAAAGAGGGGAAAAGTTCTTCCAGAACAGTCCTGTTCTAAACAGCCTCAACTGCCCCCCCAGTATCATCAGGGCTAGTTACCAGCAGGCCAGTGGGGTGGTGTCCTCCGCCTGACTGCTGTGTCTGATCTGAGCTGGGAGTAGCAGCTTTGCCAGTGTGCGATGCATTATTGATAAAGGGCAGTGGCTGGGGGCACATGGTGGAGCAGGGGCTCTGGGACCGAGGCTTTCTTCCTTAGCTTGGTGACCTGGGGTAGATGATGCGGCCTGTTCCTGGGCTTTCTCAATGGTGGTGTCTCCCACACTTGCCAGATCACAGGAGTCACCTGAATGGTGTTACTAGCAAGACAAATTCTCAGAGTCAACTCCTGAAGATTATTTTTAATCCTCACCCAAGGATATTTTTTTCCCATTGATCTTTAGAGAGAGAGAGTGGGAGGGAGGACTGAGGTTCGGGTGGAAGGAGGGAGGGAGGGAGAGAGAGAGAGAGAGAGAGAGAGAGAGGGAGAGAGAGAGAGAGAGAGAAACATCAATGTGAGAGACACATCGACCAGTTGCCTCTTATATGCACCCCAATCAGGACTGGGGACCAAACCTGCAACTGAGGTATGTGCCCTTGACTAGGAATTGAACCTGAGACCCTTTGGTCTGCTGGCCAACACTCTACCCACTGAGGGAAACTCCTGGAGATTTTGACCAGTAGTGCCGGCAGGGGGGCTAGAAGTTTGTATAATTATCAAGCAGCTCAGGTGATTATGACCATGCTAACTGGGGAGATTGCTTTCTGCCACGTGAATAGTGCCTTCAATGGACAATGCACAGTCAAATAGTTCAGGTGAACCTTGACTTTGCACTTGAGCAGCACCACCTATGTGGAAAGATGAGAGGGATTTGAAGATACGCTTATGGGCAGGATGGAGCTGCTGCAACTTTTACTTTCTTCCCTGCAGCCATGATTCACTGGGAAACCTTCAAGTCCCCAGGAAAGTGTGTGTGACAGGTGTTTCCTTGTAGCCAGTGGGCGCTGAGTAAATGTTTACTGGTGATGACAGTGACACCTCATTGCCCTGCAGGCTTTAGCTTGTCCCTTTCGTAGAAAACACTTTGCCCGAAAGTGAACCCACACTTTGTGGAAATCAGGGCCCTGAGGACACCTCTGATGTTTGGAATGGAGACGTTCCAAACCCAACACCTGCTGTGGGGGAGGGCTCTCTTTCCTTAGCCCAGTGACACATGGGCCTTTAGCAAGCAGGAGGTGGGGCAGTATGAATGTGGAACAGGAAGTGTGCATTTATGGCTAAAACAGAATTATGTGGCCTAATGACTTTTGGAAATTACCCTAATCATATCTGATGCTGATGCATGTTTTTCTCTCTTTACTGAAGTTTTAACACAGGAAACATTAGTGGGGAGTCAGTCACAGCCAAAGACCAGGGTAAGGAGTTGCAAAGATATGAGAGTAAATCATTCCAATATCTGCCCTCAAGCCTGATCGAGAAAGCAGATGTTCAAACAATTACTGCACCAGGGTCAGGTGATATGTACTGAGGAGAGGGCAACGAAAGGGAAGGCGTGATTCATTCTCAGTGAAATTTTATTCTTAGACTTCCTTTCACTGACAGGTTTTCTATTTGGGGGGATAAATAAAAATACACGTGACAAAATGACACCTGATTGCTCACGTGTTTCTGTGCCCACAGTTAGGGAACGGTTTCACAATACACATGTGACATTTGGCCAGTCTGGTTGTTTCGGGATGTTGTCAGATGAGATGAAGCCATGGTGACTGTGCACGCCCTTCTTCTCATTGATTTCACATGAACTTTGCTATCAATCTGTGAGCTGCAGGGAATGTAAATCACATGAGTTCCATGTTCGGTTACCATGTGATTTCCTGGAGCCTTTTTGCAGACTTAGTACATTAACGCTTGTGGACAGCCAGCCTCCACGTGACGACTAAACCCTTTCCACAGCTGGGCTTTACATGAAAAATCACTGATCAGATCAACTTTATGGCTTGTATGTCCAGGGCGGTGATGTGTACAACCACTTCTCTCAGCTAAAGATGTGCTTGGTGTCCATCGGTAGCCAGAACATGAAGACATCCCTCGCCCAGTGTCATCTGGCAATAACGCTGTAGGTTAAAACTGGAGTTCCTTTGACTGTTGGAGCAGTCAGACTAAATTTCACATGGGCAAGGACTTTTTTTCTGTCCAGTGTTGTAGCTCCAGTGCTCAGATAAGTGCTTATCTCATTGCAGTGCTTAACTATGAATGAATGAATGAATGAATGAATGAATGAATGAATGAATGACTCCCTAAGCAAGAGTCTGATAGACATTTTCTTTTTCCTTCCAGTTCCTATCAGGTGTTAGTGGTTCCCCTGGCCCTCCAAAGCACATTTTCTTGTGATTCTGAAGGGGCGACCTCATTCTTTAGCAATACTTCTCATACCGATGGCTATGTGGCTGCAGAACTACTGGCCAGACATGTTCCAGATGATGCCATGGAGATCTCCATTGGAGACAGACTGTATTATGGGAAATATTATAATGCACCCTTGAAAGCAGGGAATGATTATTGCATTATATTACGAATCACAAGCGAATGGAATAAGGTATATTTCTTTAAAAGCTCTTCTGAACTATTTTCTTCTTCACGTGAAATTTGAATGGTTGAACATTTGTTTTTCCAGTGTTTGAGATGGACACTGCACATAATAACCATAAGAATGTGTTGAACCCTTGGCCTTGGTAAAGGATGGGCAGGTGAAACCTCTATGGAGGGTGATAGTCTCAACTTCCTGGAGGACCTGGTTGGACCTGCGTTTGGACTGATTCGGTTTTGGTTCTTCCTCTGACGCTTCACAGACGCCCTCATTCCAGTGCATTGCGGAAGCCCGAGTTGGAGAGGAATTTCTAGATCTCTTGTCACTTCCCATTCTCCTGCCAGGCTGCAGCCTCCCCTCATTCTTCCGGAAGCAGGGGGGAGGGCACATTAAGCTCAGTCCTGCCCTATTGTCCATCACGTCTGTGGCTATTGCACAGGCCTCACTCTCCTCTCCCCTGTCCTTAGAAAGGCTGTGTTCTCCCAGCTGTGGTTCTTCCGTGAGACGTAGAACTGAATACTCATCACATAATAAATAAATATAATGACCTGGATCAGTCAGCCAGGGATGGAAGGTCTTCTGGAATAAACATTGTGATGGTTGAACTCTGTAAGTTTCAAAGGCCCTACCTCCAAATATCATCACACTGGGGTTAAGGCTCAACAGATGAATTTTGGGGGACAAACATTGAGTCTATGACAGAGGGAATAAAGCGGGAGGTTATGATAAAAATTTTAGTTAATAGGAAGCTTTCCTGTGATGTCATTGTTACCTCCTTTTCATACAGCTGAGTGGAACATGTGCCTGTTTTTAGGGATGCTAAAGGAGATGAGGGGCTTTGAAAAAATGTATATGTGGACTTGCATATTTGAATCGCAACTACTTACCCCAAGGGTTTCAAATATATTAGTGTTATAGTCATATTAAAATCAGTAGTGACTTACTCATTTTTAAACTGCTTTGTTGATATAAAATTCACATACCATATAATTTACCCATTTAAAGTGAAAAATTCTGTGGTTTTTAGTGTATTCACAAGCTTGTGCAACCCCCACCACCGTCTAATTCCAGAACATTATAGTAGTGATTTTAAAAAAATATTTAATTTTAGTTGTGGTAAAATAAAATGTACCATCTTAATAATTTTTTAGAATATATTGTTATTGCTTTTAGAGAAGAAAAGAGAGAGAGAGAGAGAGAGAGAGAAACAACAATGATGAAAAAGAATCATTGAGCGACTGCCTCCTACACACCCTTTACTTGGAAAGGAGCCTGCAACCTGTGCATGTGCCCTGACCGAGAATCAAACTGTGATCTGGTTCATAGGTCGACGCTCAACCACTGAGCCACCTAGGTCGGGCCATACATGTTCTTTTCCCTTTCTTCCTGGTTCTTGGCTACGTTTGGGCAAATGTGGTTGCCAGATAAGTGTCATCATTATAGGTGAAGTATTATGTGCCAGGAGTTCTAGTAGCCTTGCCTATCACGTACATCAAAACTTCTTGCTGAGCCTGGATCTGTCCTCAGAATCTTTTCAACATCATTCTCCTGTGGGTCAGTGCCAGTTGCTCAGCGCTGACAAGGGGAATGAAGCTTATTGCCATTCCTGTTGTTTACCCACAGGGTGCGCTTTCTGAGATCGATGGAAAGCTATCGAAGTGATCCCTGGGGTCACTTGCCAGTCCCCTGAACACCTGGTGATCACATGGTTGAGATGTAATATGTTGGAGCTAGATGAGACTTCAAAGATGTTCTAGTTCAAATTAAGAGCTGAAACTTGGAGAGTGAGGTATGCTGACGGACAGCTTGTGCCATCTGCTTACACATGTTGCTGTGTTTGCCGTTACAGGTGAGAAGATGCTCCTGTGCAGTGTGGGCTCAGGTGAAAGGTAAAACCCTTTTCTGCTATGAACGCTGTCCTCATCTCTATGTCCAGTCTTCAGCATCAAGTGTATGTTAATGAGATTTCTTTTGAAATTGTCACAGGTGACAGAAACCCATCTCATAGTAGCTTAAGAGAAAGCTGAAAAGAATGGGAGTCTAAGGATGGGAGTTTATGGAAGTCCCATAAGAGCAGCATCCCCAGGACCCCAGGGACTGGGACTTGGGACTCAGCACCATGTGTGGGATTCTCTCTTTCTGTCTGTTGTCTCTGCTCTGTTTCTAAGTGTGAGTTGGCATCATTTTCTTTAACTATAAGCCATGTGGTAGGGAGGGATGGGCCCCAGTTACCACACCTTAGCAACTTCAGTAGGCACAGAAAGTTCTTCAGTTCAGGGAACGCCTTTTCTCCTAGGGTATGTGACTGTCTGTTGGATGAGTCACTGTAAACAGGAGATGGGGTACGATGATTGGTCTCTCTTGGGTTTGGGGCTTACTCATATGACTGGTTGGGGGCAGATCGATGTGATAGACAACCCCATCAGCGTTGCAGTAGGAGGGGGGCATGATCCCCATCAGGAAAAGAGGCACAGAAAAACATGTTGGCAGACGACAACAAAGAGCTACAGCAGCCCATTGCTGTCAGCCGTTTGGCTGCTTTGCATGTACACATACATACACACATACCATTAAGAAAGACATCTTCCATTAAGGAAATGGAATGATCCGCCACACAACCACAAGTGGCACCCTCGTGGAAGATAACTCAAACGGGGGTCTCTGACTGCCTCCAGCTCCAAGACCAAGATTCCCGGGCATGGTTCCATTCCTCTCCATCAAATCCAGATGTGCTTCTCATGATCTGTTTAGCAATCCACGACGAAACGGCTGCCATTCTCAAACCACAGTATATATTATGAAAAGAAAAACAATAAGTACTTTCACTTAGAAAGGAGGAAAAACTACAGTACTGTGCACTGGTCAGGGGGCCTAGAACAATGACCACCTCATGCTGGGGAGGAAAAGCAAGCACCCCTTGCCCTGGCCGCAGAATGGGTCACTTGATCAGTCGGTTGGGCTGCCTCGGTCTTTTCCTGGGTCTGCCTGTTGGGGAGTAGCCTTGTCTATTTCCTCCGAAGCCACATCGAAGGGATGAGCTGGGAGGAGCTCCGCTGAGTGCTGTGCAGTTTAAACCTTCTGCTTCCTACATGCACTTATCCAGGCGGGGGCTTGCCTTAGGGATTAAGCCATGACAGGTCCTTGTTTGCCAGGCTGGGATTTCCCCAGCAGCCAGCCAGGGGACTTGATTCCCAGAATTCCATTAGTTTATAGCTAATACCAGAAATCTTGTCAAGTTTACGACCTTTGAGTCTGGACCCTTTCCCTGTGGTTTATGAGTCCTAGCAACTTCCTGAGGAATTCTGCCCGTAGCCCGCAGTATCAGTTTAACCCCTTACATCCTGTCCCTTGCTTCAGAGCAGCATACAACAAGAGGCTGGGGTGGTGAGGAAGAGCGGATGTAACCTTGCTTTCAGGGAGATTCCTACCCTGTCATTAGAGGGGACTTAGCAGGAAATGCTTGAGGGGGACCTGGGGAATTAGGCTTTCTTCATTTGTCTGCTCATCCCCTCAGCTTATTTCTCCTCTTTTTACTCTACTCACACCAACTTCACCAAGGGTAGAGGACTTGGTTTTTCAGTTGGGAAGGGTAGTACCTGACCACGAACCATCTTAGCTTATGGATGGCCAGACAGTGAAGGTTTCTCTCTTGCTCTCTTATCTCCAGCTTTATTGAGATAGAATGAATATATAATTGGCATGATATCATGTAAGTTTGAAGTGTATAATGTGTATAATTTGGCATACATGTGTATTATAAAATGACTACCCCAATAAAGTTACTTAACACCTCCATCATCTCACAAAATAACCATATACGTACACACACACACACACACACACACACACACACACACACATTAGAGGCCTAGTGCATGAAATTTGTGCTCTGGGGAGGGGGCTCCCCTCAGCCCAGCTTGCACCCTCTCCAATCTGGGACCACTCAGGGGATGTCTGACTTCCAGTTTAGGCCCAATCCCTGTGGGCCTAAACCGGCAATTGGACATCCCTCTCAAAATCTGGGACTGCTGGCTTCCAACCACTCGCCTGCCTGCCTGCCTGATTGCCCCTAACCACTCCCCTGCCAGCCTGATCGCCCCCAACTGCCCTCCCTGCCAGCCTGATCTTTCTCCCAACTGCCCTCCCCCGCTGCCCTGATCTCACCCCCAACTGCCCTCCCCTGCTGGCCTGATCTTGACCCCAACTGTCCTCCCCTGCCGCCCTGGTTGCCCCCAACTGCCTCTGCCTGCCTCATTGCCCTTCCCTGCAAGCCTGATCTTGCCCCCAACTCCCCTCCCCTGCTAGCCCAATCGCCCCTAATGGCTTCTGCCTCGGCCCCCACCAAGATGGCTTTGTCTAGAAGGAAGTTGGACGTCCGGAAGATGGCAGGTCGACCCGGTCTAATTAGCATATTACCCTTTTATTAGTATAGATAGATTATATAGGATAGGATTGCTTAAATGGGAGAGGGAGCCTTTTTCAGCAGGAGGAGATGCTCTTGGGAGACAAAAACACATAATCCCTATATCTGGACTGATAGCCAGCCATATGTACTATATTGCCAAAACGGTCATTAAAAAATTGAACCGCTTTCTTACACCTTACACCAAACAGCTGTTGCCCTTAAAACCCCTCCTCAGCCCCCACCTTAGGTTCTGCCTTCACTGTTCACCTAGATTAGGTTCTGATTGATCGGTTTCGATGCCAGTCAGCGTCAAAAGCTCTGCCTCCTAGACAGCCATTGGCTTCTGGCACTTCACCCAGATTAGGTTCTGATTGGTCGGTTTCTATGCCAATCAGCATCTCCAGGCCTCTCTCTGGGCCTGATCAAAGAGGCAGGTCTGATTAGTAGCCTCCACAGAGGCCTGGAGAGAAACAGAGGCACGGCTGCTGGCGAAGCCCAGAGAGAAAGAGAGAGGCAACAGCTGATCAACAGCTGCCACAGAGGCTGCGGATCAGACCCTGCCTCTCTCTCTGCAGGCCTCTCTTCGGGCCTGATCTGCAGCTCCCTCAGCAGTCAGTGCTGGGTCCCTTCGCCAGCACAGGCTGCAGTCAGTGCTGGGTCGCCACGGCAGCCCAGCACTGACTTCTGGTGTTTGGTCAGCCTTCGGTCGTTATGGACCCTGGCTCTTTACATATATAGATGAAATAGGAGCTCTACTCTCCTAGCAACTTTGCAGTTTACAATACAGTATTGTTAACTATGGTCACCATGCTATGCAGTAGATCCCCAGAACATCTCATAACTGGAAGTTTGTACCCTTACATCAACATCTCCCCATTTCCTCCATCCCCTGGCAACTACCATTCTATTCTCTGTTTTGATGAGTTCAGCTTCATTAGATTCTACATAAAAGGGAGCTCATATAGAATTTGTCCTTCTTTGTGTGACGTATTTCACGCAGCATAATAAGTGAGGACCTTGCTTAACAAAGATGTGTGCTATTCCTTTCTGGGTGCAGACAGGCTAAGCTCCCTTTCTTGGAGTTGAATGAAAGCCACAAGGAACAGCCAGACATTCAACACTGGGACATTTCTCTGCCAGTCCATTCCCTGAAGCGCTAAGGGTGGGAATGGAGTGGCCACAAGGAAAAGAGGTGCTTTTTTCAGAAGAATAGAGATGTGCAAGTATCCCGGACAGACATAGAATTGATAACTTCCAGATGCTACTGCTTTCAGCCACTGTGATTGGCAAACACTCAAACTGGGTAGAAAGAAATGGCCAATGAGCTGGCTGCATTCTACTATGATTAAGTTAAACAGGAAGGACTTCGCTTTGGAAATATCTAAGCGGCATTTGGCAGTCCCCCCCTCCCCCCGCCCCCGCCTCTCAAATTAAGGACCAACACTGAAAGCGAGTTTGAACCTTTGAATTCAAACTACTGGAAAGATCTGGAGGTAATAGAACACCCATGGGTATGTTGAAATTCCGAGGGGAATGCTAGCACATATTTTTCTATGTACATAATTAACCTGTGTTGTACACTAACCTCTGGCAATCTCTTCTGTGAAAAGGAGAAATTGTTCCATTTCACTCGTGCCAAGCAAAAGGCCCATTCTTTCCTTTGCCCAGTCATGAATTATGATGTTTACCTTTCACAAATTGCCCGTAAAAGGGCTTTGTGATGGTTACCAGGGAACCAGCAGTGGGTTTGATGGGAAACGCAAAAGCCGGGCTTCCTTGCCCGAGATCTGCTACTAATCAGCCGAATGGCCTGAAATGATATTTAACTTGGCTGATTCTCGGTGGCCTCTTCCCAAGGTCTCTGCGATCCCTTCCAGCCACAAAGGACTGTGAGTCTGAGTTCTTGAGTCGCAAAGCGAGGTCATTTAATACATAGGAAATGATAAACTGCAATCAGGGAACATTCTTCAGCTGCAGACAGAAACCTCTGAGTCAGTCACTTCTCCTCTTTCTCTTTCTGCCCACATTTTGCACGACTGGGCATGCCTCTCTGATTTTCATCTCTGTGTTCACTTCCTAGCATTCAACGACTGGTAAAGCCTCCTATCTCATTTCCCATCACAAGTGTTCAGGGTTTCCCTCTTCTCCCTAGCCTGCACGCCACCACCTGACTCATATTTCTAGACTTCAGCTCTGATTTTATTATTTCCCCTGACAGTTTTCCATAGTTCTCCATGACTTTTTAGTTTTATTTCCAAGCCTCAGTGTGACACCAATGTACATTTCTAATTGCATCTCTCATTCTTCTTCACGCAAACTTATATATCAGCCCTCGCTGGATATGGCCCTGCCTTCTCTCCTTAATGTCTTGCTCATACGATTACATGCTTACTTCCATCTGGATTGCCCTATACCCTTCCAGTAATCTCTCCTTATTACAGTCCCACCTGTTCTTCAAGATTTAAACCAAGTGCCACCTTATTCCTGAAGCTTTTTCTATATGCTCGATGGGACAGGATCTCTATTTCTTCCTCTCTTTAGCCATTCTGCCATACTTTAGAGCAGGGGTGGGGAACCTTTTTTCTGCCAAGGGCCATTTGGGTATTTATAACATCCTTCGAGGGCCATACAAAATTACCAACTTAAAAATGAGCCTGCTATATATGGTCAAACATTTAATTAACTCACCCCTAATGCCTTGGCAGGCCAGACTAAATGATTTCATGGGCCTTATATGGCCTGCAGGCCAGATGTTCTCCACCCCTGCTTTAGAACAATGGTACACTTGTCTTTTCTTACCAGATTTCCTACCCTGGAGGGAGACCATTTGGAGAACTGGAGTAGTACCCAGCACACATTAGGTGCTTAATCAGAATTTATGGAATTGGGTTGAATGATTGGTAGGGAACCAGAAGTACAGTTTGATGAAAAACAAAGCATAGTAGGGGTGTACTTGTCAAATTAAATAATCCAGATAAGATTTATATCAAGATATAAGCCTAGCCCAGCCGGTGTGGCTCAGTGGTTGAGCATCGACTTACAAACCAGGAGGTCACAGTTCGATTCCTGATCAGGGCATATGCTTGGGTTGTGGGCTCGATCCCCAGTGTGGGGCGAGCATGAGGCAGCCGATCAACGAGTCTCTCTCATCATTAATGTTTCTCTTTCTCTCTTCCCCTCCTTTCCCCTCTGAAATCAATAAAAATACATTTAAAAAATAAAATAAAACCTTCATAATTGTGATTGGCAGAGGTCTAGATAGCCTCACAAATTCTGGGCCCCTGGTGTACACCCATTTTCTCTCATTTATTTACAGGCTAGTCTAGGTGCTGCTGTGAAAAAATAGTACCCACTGGGTGGTTAGGGGAAGTAATTAGAACAGGGTCTGTCACGTAGTAAGTGCTAAATAAGTGTTTGCAAATTAAAACATGGCCACTAGTTTAGTACATGACAGAAGTGAACATGACAGTTACTGGGCCCAAATGTGTACCTCACATGTGAGTCTTTTCCAGTTTATAACCAGGGATCTCCCGGAAGTTGGCAGGTGATGCACCCCAAATAGAAATATTTATGTCTTTCAAAGAGCTTTTACATCAACGTTCTTATTTTGTCCCCAGGGGAACCTGAGCAGAACAGGGAGGTACCACTCTTGCTGATGCGTAGGGAAAATCAGAGATACCTCTACCAACAGACAGGATTGATTTGCTCTATTCAACTATTGGAGCTATCATTTTTCGAGCAAAAAATCCAAGTATGTCGAAACCACTTCTTCCTCAATGCAAAGGAAAACTGCCCATAAGTCTAGCCAGTGTGATTGACTTGAGAGAGGACCAACCAAAGCACACAGTGCGCTGCATTTGTATGCTCTCCAAGGTCCGTCTTTTCCTCCCTTGTGACTTGAGTGTGGCCTGGTTTTATGCCTCCTTTTCAGAAATACCCTGGCACTGTTTTCCTGAGGCCCCGCATCCTCGGGGCCAACCAGGGGACAGGAGGCTCTCTGGGCATTTCAGGGATGGTTTGTTACATGGAGCCAAGTTTGGGGTTAAAACGGGGTGAGCACAGGTGGGTGTGCGCCTCCTGGGCGGGCGTGATCTGGGCTCTGTGGGCTCAGTGTGTGGTTTTGTCCCACAGATTCATCACGCACGCTGCAGCAGATGGTAGGCGTTGGGCTGGGCTCCGTGGCTGTCGTGATGGTGCTCGCGTTCCTCTCCTTCATAGCAGTGTGGTATGTGAGCCTGTTTTTGAGAAATGAGTGCAGCGGAGGGAGGATGGGGCTGGGGCCATGAAGAGGCTGGGATTGAGAGGGTCAAAGGGATATGGGTGAGGTTGTCCTGGGCACAACGGACACTCAGCAGGCAAAAGGCATGAGTAACTCTGCACCTTAGG